CCTATATGTTGACTCGGATAACCAGCTATTACCATACCAAATTTCATCAAAATCTCTTCAGTGGTTTTTCTGTGATGCGGTAACAGATAGACAGACAGACAAAAATTCTAAAAACTATAGATTCGGTCTCTGTATCGATAATAAAGTCTATTTCTATAAGATTTTCCAAAAAGTATTTAATGTACATATTCGGCTTACTTACAATTTTATTATATGTTTAGATTTTACAGGTAGTGGTGGGAATCAAATGTATCCCAACGCTTAACTGTTCGTCAGCCAATATATGTATCACGTAAACTTAAATTGTTTTTACGACAATTTTGATTTAAAAAGAAATAATAACTAAAATAAGAATATCTGAAATATCCAGTATTACTTGAGCAAGGTTTTTTTTGCGCTCTCGTTTTTGTAATGTTTTCCTTTTCGTATATGTATTATTTTTGTTAATGACAATCCTGGTAAAAACATCATTAGAACTTGTTTTTTCTCACAGATCTGTTTTCCTCATTCAAGGTTATATACAAGATGACATAGGTATTTCGCTCTAATAGAAAACTCGAAAAAACCGCTTATGGAAAGTCCGCCTCTCGAATGGGCTTATTTCATGCATGGGGTTGCTCCTAAGATCCATTCTGGTATTAGAGTAGAAGTAGCATCCCAGTTCTCCTCTTATATTCGCACCAGGCTGGATTGCTGGACACTAATGAACCCTATCACGACAAGGTGAACAAATGTCGGGGGAAAGCATCAGCGCCCTGAACTATAAGATATATTTTTATAATCAATTTACTTTTGGCCATATTTTTTTTATATGACAGCTCTCTCTAGGCTTATTTATCAACTGACCATTGGCGTACCTAGACTTTTTTTTTAAATATAGAAGTACCCCCGTTAACACTAGCGCATCACTGCTGGTCTACTCAGGTGTTTTACTCATATACATATCTGCTACCAATTTTAATATTAAACTACGCATTAACAGTGTTTTAATTATTGAAAATTTCTTAGACTAGATGAGCAGTAGTAGAAGTAGGCACCTATTACATTTTAAGATTTTCTTCAGTTGTACCGTATTTATTTCATACACCGGCACTGTTTAGTTATGAATTATGATGCTTTTCTTTAAAAGTATGTATTAGTAAGAAACATTTATACTTTACTAATAACAGAATACATATAATTTGTTTACAAAATATTGTATTTATGTATGTACCATAAGCTACCCACCTAATTAATAAACCCTATATGGCGCATCCTTTTGCACTAATCTAATTTTAACTTTTATCATATGGCTACCACGTTTTTTTTGTGCTAATTTTTTTAACGTTATTTTATGTAATATAAGAGCTGTTTTTGTTTTATATCTTTAAGTATATAAATACATAACACATTACACAACTCATACCCTAAATGATTTGCGACCTCCAAAAGTAACTAGGTCGCGAAGAAATCAAGGCGTTTAATTATTTTGTGACTTGTTTTTTGCTGATTTATATCAAGGTTCAATACTGATCACATTATCGCTACTGTGAAAAAGTATTTTTGTATGTTTTAACTTTTGTATAATTCTAAAAAACATCTTTATTTTTAGTCTCTATAATTTAAAGAGCTTCATTTGAATTGTACTTGTTTAATTAACAATATAAGAATTATTATCATTAATTATAATCACTGACGTATTATAATATGTAAGCAAGCGGTAGTATTTTATTCGAATTGTTAGTGGGAACCTATTATATGGCTGACCTTGTTATTTCTGAGATCTCATACTGCATAAATAGTAGCCTGCTCCCGTTTGTTGCGTAGGTGTAAAGTCCAAGCGAGAAAAAAACGTAAACAAATACGTAAAGCGTAAGCCAGTCGTAACTAAAGCGGGAGGAGACGATGGGTTTTATTTATTTTGTTTTAAAAACATTTGTGGCGTGTAGAACTGTCAGCTGTCTTTGTTTTTATGTGACGCTTACAGATTGAAACAATTTGCCGTAGACACACTGGAATGGGTTTTTTGCCCGAGCTGCCATTTTCCTTTCCTGGTATATAAAATGAATTAATATAATAGGTAAATATTACGTATCTATAATATTGTGCGTTACATTTTTTATTACGTTAATTACACATTCATATTATTTAAGATTTCCACTGAAAATTTCCACAAATGTAAAAAAGCAATGCGACTCAAAAACTATAATATACATATGTGGTTATTTTGATTATTATTCGGTAGGTATGGTATAAAATATAAATCGAACCCACTGTCTTCAGCACGCAATCAAGCACTGCACTGTCAATGCGATACATTTTTTTTTTTTAAATACAAGGTTTGTTTACATACATTGTTAGCGAGTAATTTAGCTACAGGAAAATATAAAAGCCAAGTGCGTGTTAAAAAAGTTATAAAAACATAATCACTTAATGTCAAAGATTAATTTATAATACAAATATTTTGTATTATTATAGTTTAATCGATATTGAGAGTTAAGACGTTGCGGTGATTCTCGCGCACTATATTTTTAGAAAGTTGTATCCGGCTTCGCGCTAGGCGGAGCACTTCCGTGTACACAGTTCGGATGTAGGCTCAGTGTAAAAGGTGCCGAATTTCGTTTTAATCTTGACAAAGTATTTACAACATGTTTGTATTACAATATAAATTATTCGCATTAATCTATTTGTTTGCCCACTGTGATGACGACATCACTTTTCCTTCTTGTATGTAAGGACTAATGAACGGTAATAACAATGCGATTCTATGAGAACTTATGTAAATATAACCAGTTATAAAAACCTGCTACTGGGTACAACGGCTATCCATTGGGGTATAAGAGTAAAATATTTTTCCTGTACGTTTACATATTTTCGTCCATTGAAATCGTTCACTGTCAAGCGGATCTTGATTTAAGATCTAAGTACAATTTAAAGTTTATTATAAACGTTTCTGTCATTTACCCACCTATTTACATATTATATATGGTAATAAAGTGTCGTTTTTGAGAATGACCTGTATTTATAATTTGAATAAATAATTTATGCTAACATTAAGATAATATTGTAAATAATGAGGTCTACCGGTTTACTTACCTAATATCACTTGGACGTTAAAGGAATGTAGTAAGTCGATATTTTATAAACTCGAGAAGTTATTGCGACATGGTGTTTTACTATGTTACTTACTTGGCAAAAGTAATCTGTAATCAGAATTTAGATCTTAGCCAAGTGAAATAAGTGAACCTCAACACGGATGTAGTTTTAAATTTCAGTTCTCTAGTCAAATATGTAACAAACTGGTAGTTACTGAGATGAAGAAACATATCAATTTTTAATGGAGTACCTATAATATTAATTAATAATTAGGCAAAAGTAATCTGTAACCAGATCTAGATCTTAGTGAAATGAAATAAGTGAACCGGATATAGTTTTAAGTCTTAAGTTCTCTAGTTAATTCATTAAGTAACTGGGATGGAGAGACAACAATTTTGAAGAGAGTATAATATTTTTAGGTTCCGGTTAATTGTGGGTGCGTTTCGATATTCATATAAATAATGAGTTACAACCGGTATATATAAAAGATTTGCGCGCACGGTAAAGGTCAATGATCATCCGTAGATCCGCTTCGACGCCCTCATGACCCTGTCCTGTGCTGGCGCCTTTGAACACCAATATATGTTTTTATTGATTACTGTACAATAACCTATGGGTAATATAGATAAGTAGATACGCTTTTTAATCTCTAGGTCATAAGTAATTAGCTTCGTGTTATTATATTCTGTACTTCAATTTTTTATCATTTTTATGTTTGAATCGATATTTATCTAACAAAGTGCGTTCGAATATCTATTACAAGATCCGGGATCTTAAATTTCAATTGAAAGGACCAAGGCTTGCTATGCGGCATTAAACATGAAGAAATAAAACATGTAAATAAATTCTTTGATTTCTTCTCATTTTGGAATTTATTTGCATCGCGTAAAGAGGCGCATGATTTGATGCATTATAATTGTTAGAAAAATGTTTCTTTCTACGAGTGAAAATTTTATTGCAGGTATTAAAGCAGTTAAAGAATTCATATTAAAATCGCAGATCACTTTTATTTTTAAATTAATTGGTAATGCTATCTTGTTAATTGTTATAGTGTAAGTGCTTATAATTATTAGATAAACCTACTTATTTGAATATACTAGCGGCTCACCCTCGATCCGCTCGGGTTCGTCGCTAGGTACGTTTTAAATATATTTAAATAGTTATTAGCCAGCGTCAGCCATGTAAATTTTAATTTGTTTTCGTGAATTTTTCCAATTTTTAATAGTAATTCTGCTATTTGAGGTGGCGACAAATCCAACAAATCAATGATCATGAAAAATCGGTCCAGCCGTTCTCGAGTTATAAGGGGTGTAATTAACCCTACTTTGTTTTATATAGATAAATAGATTTTTTATAAAACAATCATAATGCGAATGTGTTTAAATAACTTTAACGTAAAAATAAATTACATAAAATAAATTTTGGCCTTTTTTCGGATCTTTATTATTACTGTGCAGTTACGGTAATTACAACGTTGGTGTTTCTGAACAGTGACTTATACGCAATTTTATTTCTTGACCTATTTATTTACTGATGTGTTCGATGTTTATTTATGCTATTGTGGCACCAAAAGATAAATAGTCTTCTTAAAGTTCCACTGCTGGTCATGAGCTTTCCTTTAATACTAGGAGGGATCTGGCACCATAATGACCAAGTACAGGTGTTCGTACTTTTAAACTTGCTATGTTCTCTCAAACATGCACGTTTTTTAACAATGTAACTTTAAGGCCTGATAAAATTGGTACACCTAATCTTCTTGAAAATTGTTAGAACATGAATTACGAGACCCGAGACACGTGATTTGAACCAGCTTTACTTCATTTCCTAAGCCAACGCGTTACCACTGGGCTAGCTACCATTGTACAATATAAACATTTTAAATGTTTATTTTATATGTATGTTTAATGTATATTTTATTTTTTCAGAAATATGTGGAGTCGTCGCTGGGATGGGCAGGCGAGCGTGGCGAGGACTCTAGCTACGACTCTGAGTGTGACGACGACGGTAGCCATCGCACCGCATCCCGCACGCCTTCAGACACTCTCGCGGCGGAATTCGCAGAGTATGTCACTCTTGCACCACCCCCACAACAACCAAATCAAGTAAGTTAATTTATATTATTATAGTACCTACAACTAGACAACTAAGTACCATGTATTTCAAGTTTCGGAACAGCTGTTTATACTGCATGTTGACTAAGCCTATAAGTGTGGTGTATAGTGTAAAAATATTATATAAGGAACTATGTATGAAAGATAAAAAAGCTCTGTATTTATACTATGTTGGCTTCCTATATAATAAATAAATAAGATACGCCAGGTTATATTCTATGTGCTAAAATTTCATACAAATCTGTTGAGCATTTTCAGCATGAATCGAGCAAACAAGTTTGTTATTCCCTCCACGACCGCGGACACGCCAGCGTACAGTTAACAATAGATTTCTTAGAAATTTTATTAATTTCTTAGAAATTGACCTGGAGGTGATAAAACACAAACTTTCGCATTTATAAAATTAATCCAGTTCTCCAATCAGGTTAAAATGATGATGTTTAAAACAATACTTGTACTTTAAATGATATATGTGACTTACGTATCTAGATCTTTTATTATCACAGCGAAATCCATGATAGGTATACAAAATAAACACCCACAAAATTCGGTATTGCAAAACTCTTAACACATCTTGAATAATTTGATGTACCTATTACTAATCATAGTGCTGCTTAATCTCGGATTCACTATAAATTAATAATAAGCTCTTTCTCAATCAAATTTTATAGGTTTTCTGTAAAATATGTTACTTTATTATAATAATATAAATATTTATTTAATGTCAAAACGCATTTAAATCTTCCCACGCGGTCAGACACCCACTTTTAATATAAGTGACATTTCCTAGGGCGAAGTGAAGGCGTTTGAGATAAAATTAAAATTTGGTGAAATTATAATTTTGACAGGCTAAAATCGAGTTTGCGGTGAAACTAGGTTATTCAGAGCGTCTAGCACGTACGGCATTACAAAGATTGGGTCCCGACCCACCACGCAACGAATTGTTGGCCGAGTTGATCAAACTAGCAGCAAAACGGCCGCCCCGAGCCATTTCTCCGCCTTTGCCCAACGAACCTGAGCCCCCGCCCGACCGCGCCTTATTGCGGCACATTGTTATAGATGGAAGCAACGTGGCTATGAGGTGAGTTATTGGTTAACCATAACGCCCATTGTAAAACTGTGACGTTATGTCATCATGGGTAAATTTGCTAATCAGATTTGCGTAAAGCTTACTCAGAGAAGAAAAATTATTGTAGCTCGGATGTATCCCTATAAGTTGTATGTATATCTCATAACAAGGATAAAATACATATAGGTTTCCGGCTGTATACTATGTTTCTTCGTCTACTTGTGTTCATGCATTTAGTTCGCTTTTTACGCAGTAAGGTTTATTTTATTTTTATATATGTTTTTATGGTATGTTTTATTTCTAACTATATATAATCTATATGTTACTTCAAGTTATAGTTTATCTGTGTATTAAATCCATTCGAGTTCAAATCCGTCCAGCTGCTCCAGATTATTTATAAAAAAGATACGCAAACATACAAACTTTCGCATTTATATAGTAATAATAATGTTAGGGAATTTCCCTTCTTTGAGTAAGCTTTACGCAAAACTGATTAGCAAAGTTAACCATGATGACATAACGTCACGGTTTTACCATGGGCGTTATGGTTGATTCCTTTGTTTATTTCTAGTTTTTGTCTAAAGGAAATAAGAAAAGTATGTCATTACTATTAAATTTATGTTTGAATTAGTATTAGTGAATTTTGTACAGACTTTTTTAGATAGACTTACTTTATAGACACATAGATATTACGCGAGATTGGACTAGCTTTCTCATTTTATTGATAATAATTGAAATATTTTAATGTCCTAAATTTATTATTTTATCTATATAATTAATAGTGTTAAGTTATATAACGTGATCTCTTGTTACAGCCATGGCAATAAGGAAGTGTTTTCGTGTCGGGGCATCGAAATTTGCGTTGATTGGTTCAGAGCGCGAGGTCACAAGGAAATTACAGTGTTTGTGCCAAAATGGCGGAAAGAAGCTTCCCGACCTGATAACCCAGTAGCGGATCGCGACGCCTTAGAACGTCTCGAACGAAACCGCGTGCTAGTTTACACGCCAAGTCGACTTCTTGGCGGCAAACGCCTTGTATGTTACGATGATAGATACATTCTAAGGCTGGCAGCCGAAACAGACGGGATCGTAGTCTCAAACGATAACTATAGAGACTTGGCCGCAGAAAGCCCCGAGTTCCGAAAAGTTGTAGAAGAACGACTGCTGATGTTTTCCTTCGTCAATGACAGATTCATGCCTCCCGATGACCCCCTCGGTCGATCTGGCCCCACGTTAGACTGTTTTCTGCGAGCTCCCCCGTCCCGCTCCGATCCGCCCCCGGCCTGTCCATACGGTAGAAAATGTACATACGGGAACAAATGCAAATTCCACCACCCAGAACGCGCAGGCCGGCCTCACAAATCCGTAGCCGAGAAGTTGTCAGAACGTGCAGCAAGGAAAGCGAGAGATTTACACACATTGAGCTTACCTCCCGGAGGGCGTCCCACAGACAATAAAAAGCCGCTAGCTCGTGCCCATTCTGCTACACCCCGACTATCTGATCCGACACTTGTATCCCATTTCGACCGCGCCCAAGTACCAGGACCTTCACAACCAGATAATAACCCGCATAGGAAGTTAGTACGCCAGTTAACCCTCAACCCTGCATGTGACCCGCGACTTCACTCAGCAGCGGCCCGGGTCTCGTCGGCCCCAGTGGGCGCGGCTGCCGCTCTAACCCCACACATGGCAGGATTATCCATCTCCCCCTGCGCGTCTGAAGGAGCTCTACAACATTGGGAAGCGCGACGACGCATGCACTTCCACTTAACTGGCATTTTCCCTGAAGCGCAAGTAACAGAAGCGATGGCCACATATCCGGAGGAAACGGATCCGCAAAAAATGTGCGCAATAATTTTAGACAGATACAGGCCAAGTGAAGCGACGTTACCGCGGACTACACATTGACCATGTACCAACTTCTTGAAGGAAGGCATACATTAAATATGTGGTACATTTCCTCTGGATGATGAATAATTGATCTTGGAATTATTCCCAATTTCTATATGAAATTAGGTTCTATATTCTTTGGTCAAATTAACAAGTGGGGAGTGTAACTATTGTTGCTTGTCATCAGGCACGCAATTAACTAGATATCGGCTGAATAATGAGAAAAATGAAACAACGTGTATGGCAACACTGAAACATTTACAAAGCCGTCAATAGACCATATTGTTAAATTTTACATGGTACAGTAGATAGATATACACATAAAATAGCAATGTTTTAAGTGTTGCTTACGTAAGAGTATTCAAGCTTTTTGATTCATAAATTTTAAGAATAAATATTTTAAAATCTATTTTTTAATTAAAAAAGAAAGCAGTGTTAAAAGCATTCTCCAAAGATCAGTTTCGAGTTAATTTTAAAAAATCTAACTACACTATTCATCATAATGTATGGAACGGATAATATTGTAAAACAATGGCGTTTTCCATTTCCGTCCAATAAGCCTGGTTTTGTCTATTAACAATTTCTTCAGATTGAGATTTATTTAAGGCGTATTGAGCCTTATTAATCAACTTATCAAACTTCTAAATGCCAATTGCATGGTTTCTACCGCCAGTGAAGGCATTTAACTTTGTACATTCTCACATACCTATTGTTTTGACAAATTCTTCTGCGAAGCGTTTGTCGTTATTTAATAATAATTCCATAAGTTTCTAGATATTATATACAAATAAAAACGTTTCTGAAAAATTGTCGCATCCATATTATATTTATATTTTTAACTTAACATTTTTAAAACTAAACTGACTAATGACATGTTTATTCCATTTTAACTTATGTTAGACTGCTCTTTAAATTAATAGTTTTAGCATTTTTGAAATATATGTATGTAAAAAAAGAAATTTTAACCGTGATATATATCTTAAATTAGTACATTTATTAAATATATTTTTTTATTAGAACCAACCATACACACATACTTATTACTGTTTAAAAGCAATAATAAAGAATGAAATTAATTAAATGCACTGGAATTACATACATATATTAAAATAATAAAATCATTGGTTCATTATTTCAATACAAATAGTTTTTAGACGTTTATTAACTATTTTGATAGTTTTATATAATGGTTTCAATAAAAAAGTTATTTTATAGGCAATATTCAGAAACTTATTATTAATAATGTTTTATTTTAATATACATATGTACTATAAAGTAGTTGCTTTTTGTGTATTGCAATAACATTTAAATTTGTGATGGTATACTGGTACTATGTATCTAGTAATGTTATATATATCTGTTACTTATAGATGTTTTTTTATTAGTTGTTAAGAAAAAAATGTATTACAATGAAAATTGGACATCGATTTTTACAATACTTATTTAGCTAATAGAGAAGGCCAAATTATACTTTGATTTAAAATTGGAATTGAAATAGTGTTGTAATAATGTACATTTATATATACAATAAAATAAAAAATATAAAAAATACATATAATTTGAACCTAAAAATTATATTTAGTTGTTGTGAAATATAATCTGTATATTTTATGTTATCTTTACCATTATAACAATTTGCGATTTTCAATTCCAGTTTTTAAATAATTATGAGTACATCTGAACATGTTACACTGATTATTGACGTTATAAATAATATATTCTTGATGTACATAAGGTGCTAACGGCCAGATATATAATATGTTATATGAAATAGCCTAATTTATAGTTGTAGTATGTTATTTGTTGTTTGATTTTATTAAATTGAACTGTTAAAAACCTTAAATGCAATGCATCAAATGTAAGATAAATATTATCTATTTGCCTGCTATACTTCATATAACAATATTTTTACAAATTTATATGAAGTATTGCATTCATTACTTTTAGTTACTATAATCTAATGTTGCCTGTAGTCTTGTAAGGACCTGGCGAAATTCGATTATACTTTTTATGCATATTTTGTTATATATAGATAAACAAAAAATACTAACAAACTGACAATTATTTAGTACTGTTAATTTCCAATAAGGAATGTTAAAATTATGTCTATAATGACATAATAGGCAATAGTTAATAATAAGAATAAAGTAACTAATTAGTAAAACTTTGATTTATTTTACAATTAACCAGCGACTCACCCTCACTCCAGTCGGGTTCGTCCCTAGTTAGGTTATAACTTTAAGTATAGTCTTCTCAGAGATGAGATATTTTCCCGCAGTAAATGTATCCTATATGACCTGGAAAACCAGCTATCATAATACCGAATTTCATCAAAATCTGTCCAGTGGTTTTCTCGTGATGCAGTCACAGATAGATAAACAGACAAAAATTCTTAAAACTATAGATTCGGCCTCTGTATCGATAATAATGACTATTTCAATAAGATTTTCTAAAAAATATTTAATGTAAAGATTCCGCTTAGTATTTTATTATATGTATAGATATAAAGTTTTTAAACATATTTACAGTAACAATCCGTGACTCAGATATAAAATATTGTCGTAGTAAGTCGTAGAATTTAATCATATATGAAAGTGAAAAACCTATTCCCTTTTGGAATTCAATGAGAACAAAATATTTGACTTAATTTACTTTAATTTTTCTTTCAACTTAACCCTGTTTGGATTATTAGATATTTTCTTCAGCATCATTTTCATAAAGACTTTGCTGTCTTTTTTTATTTCACTTTGCTCAGACAATTTTATAAAATGTTGACCATTAAATTGATTTTTATCTTTTACCTCAACTTTATTTGATGGTACAAAAATTCTATTTTTTTTACTAGTTCTATACAAATATTGGCTGCATTTGATGTCATCAACTTCCATTGGCACATCATTTTTAATACATTTAGTGTTTTCACTTTCCAAAGTTTCTTTAGGAATAATTTTTAGTTTTGGTTTATGGTTTTGAGATATTTTTTCTAATTTATTATTTAAATCTAACATGCTGCCTGTTTTAATTCCCAGACAACTTGTTTGAATACCAAAATATTCCTTACACATATTTCTTAAATTTTCTATACAAACTACTGGTATATTCATTGTAACACATGCATCAATCACTGGTTGTACTATGCTTTGAGGATTTACGAGGGATTCTATAAGAACTGCTGAGCATTTTTTATTCTGAATTGCATCATGGCATTCTGATATACCAAAAAGTAACCCATCTACTTTCCTGCAACATTATAAAAGTTATATAAAAAATGAATTATTATTTTCTTGATTTTTTTTGGATAAAGAAAATAATGCTATTTACCTAATCGGAGGAGGTCTTGGTCTTTTATCTTTTTTTAAAGATTTTATTTCATTCCAATGAGGTTTTATAAAATTGGGAATATTAACACGGTAGTTTTTAAGAATACTATCTATTGCACTTATTTCAGATTCCGATGTAACAGGCCTGTAACATAAAGTAGATTTAAATAACATTAGAAGTCATGCTTAAATTAATATTTTTAACATTTTAACATTTAATAAAATGCCTTCGCCTTGCTCCGCTCGGGTGGTCCTGAGGTGCCTAAGTTAGGCAGCCTAACAGAAGCTTGTGTTTTACTCCAAGTAGTCTACCTGTGTACCTATTAATTTTCATTCAAATCCGTCAAGCCATTTCAGTGAGAAATAAAAAATATGTAGGTACAAACTGACGAAAATATAATATTATTATGTAATCTGATATTTATCATATAGTGAAAATATAAATAAAAATATTTACCAAAATGAGGCATCTGGTTGACATATAACGTTTTTAATAGTTTTCTTTATTTTCCCCTTACTAATAGTACCTTTAGTTTTCTTTAACTTTGCTGCTTCCATATTTTAGTTTAATACTTTATTTAAAACACTTCAAACATACATATATTACTTTGAAAATATAACCTTTATATATGTAGCAATATACTCTATGATATAACCTAAAAAACAAAACTTGAAAACAACATCTAATTTTTATGTCAATTGTCAGTGTTAAATGTTAACTGTCAAATGAAAAGTTTTTAATCTATAAAATAGATTACAATAATATAAAAAGATAATTATCTCTAAACTTCTACATTTATAACTATAAATGAATAATATTAATCTTTGTAAATTAAAAATAAGATTAAAGTATCTGTCTATAGTTCACTGCTTCAATTGGACAGCGGGAGTGGATAATAACTTTAGTCCTCTATAACATTTACCATCTTGATTTTCTCAAAATATCCTACATCTATAACATTACAAACGCCAATGTTTGCTTGAATATATGTTATTCTTTTACGCAAAAACTACTGAACAGGCATTGGTGAAACTTTACAGAAACGTAGCTCAGAACTAAAGAATTATGTAGACCGAGCCCGACAAAATTTCATATTAATAGTAATGTCAATGTTAAAATTTAGTTAGTAGCGTGATTTCGCTGTGTAAACTACTATTCTCGATTTTGCTATTCAGATTGTCTATTTTCTTTAAAATAAATAAGAGACATTTTCATGTTTACTTCTAAGACACCTTCTTCAGTTTTATTCCATATACTGAGTAGGTAGGTATACATCTAACATATAGGGTATTATTTATAAAGATATATAGTAGTAATACATAGGCAGAGCCGCAGGACCACGCTAGTTTTTATATGTATACTAGCAGCATCCGCGGCTTCGCACGCGTTCAAACTACAAAAACAAACTCTGGCTTTATGTTATAACTAACAATAATTTGATGAGACACCGACTTCAGCGCCTCCTACCGGGTCCATTTGTGAATTCAAACCTAGCAGGGACCTACTCGACCGTAGTCCGTACACAAAAAATATCACTAAATTCGTCCCTGCCCGTTTAAGAGAAGATGAGTGGCATACCGACAGCAGTGCCACCTACCAGTTCTAATTGTGTTTTCAAACAATCCATGGACCCATTGAAATATACACACAAAATTTCATGCAGCCGTATAGGATCAGTTAAGTGATAAACACACGTACAGAAGAATTATAATATATTAACATTTAGATTCCCCGTCACTATTCCCATTCAAAAATATAATACACTTATCCTCCAGATGACCGCAAGCACTGAACTTATGCCATTTAATAAAAAATATCATAATAAGTTGCCTTACCTTCTTAAGAATTTCTTCTTCCTAAAGCTAATAATTTAAATCAAGGAAGACTATTTTCAATATACCTACTCTTTAATAGATAGGATCTATCCCAAATTTAATTAAAAAAATTGGGCAGTTGTGGGTCTGATCATTAAATACGTTAAAAGTACCTAATACGAAATTCTTATTGCTCGATGTATTTATTTCAAGTTATTGATGATATTTATTACCTTTATTATTTCTACGATAAATTTAAAAACATAGCAAACCTATAAAAAGAATATACCTATGTATTTCATATCTCAATAACTATCATATTCAAATTTTAAACTATTATTGGCATAATAGGTACTAAATTCGCAAAAACCTCGAACATTTTTGTCTTCTTTTTATTAGAATTATTGCTAAGAGACATAGGCAGTTTATCTTTATATACCTATTGTCTTGATTTATGCATCGTAACTAAAGCTATTTAGCGAAACGAAAACAGTCTATAAGTCTAGATTTGATGCTAATCTATACTAATGTTATAAAGAGGTAGTTTGTGACATTGTAGGGGTAATCTCTAGATCTACCGAACCGATTTAGATGAAATTTGATAAGAAGATAGTTTGAGACCCTGGGAAGGACATAGAATACTTTTTATCCCGGAAATCATCCCTTAAAGGGTTGTAATGGGGATGAAAGTTTGTATGGGGAATCAAGCTAGGGACGAAACCGAGTGAAGCGAGGGTGAGTCGCTAGTAGAAAATAAAAACGTTCAATTTGATTTAACGAAGTAATATTTTTAATAATAATGAATGAAATTACAGCTTTTCCATTTGAATTTTCTAATTTGACAACGAACTTATAACGACTGCTATAAAAAATTTTAAGTTTCAAATGTCTCATACAAGGTTATGTTCTATTTAGAAGACTATAATAAATAGATCTCACTTAGAAATGGTTGCGAAAAGGTCGCATTTTTTGTTGGTGCTGTCGGTTAGCGAATACCGTATTGTTCCGGACGGGATGGGGCGGGGGCTGTAATAATGACTAAAGTAAGGGTGCAATGAAACTTTTACCTGAGGCCCGGGTAATGCATCGAGGGTGCTCACTGTTCAGTTACGAGCAGTACAGTCTTAGTCACAGTCAGTGGTTAGTGTTGATTTTAAATAATGAGTTCGAAAAGTAAGATTGAGAAATGGATAATAGCAGATTGGAGTTCCAATCGATCCCCCGAAGTCGCCAAAACAACGGAAACCAGTGTGAAGTCTGAACAGATTGCTGAAGACAAACCAGCAGACAAATCACGTAAGTATTAAATTAGTAGTGCACACTTTGTATAATTATTAGTTGCAGTGAGATTGCAATTCAGTTATGTACTTATTGTACTGTATTTGTTTAAGAGAGATCATTTATTTTATATCTTATATGAATCTGTTCTCTTATTGTTAGTAATTAATCAATACATTTGTAAATTGGTCAAAGTATTCATAATAAATATTGCCTATTCTTAGTTCATGCTTGGTAAATTTCGCGCCTAAATGTAATAATGTAACCTTATATTATATATATTTCGATTAATGAGCAGTTTGTGTGTTGAAAATTTAACAAGCAATGTTACATATTGTATGTTTTATTTTAATTGTTTTTAGACTCACAAAGGCGTTCAAAGGCAAATGAAAGCGCGGGAAGCGGAACTAATGCACCGCCTGAAGATAAAGATTACTCTCCGAGCGCTTCGTCTTGGGAGCCGACCGACGACAGTTCGTCGTCAGAAGACTCAGATAATGTATGTACATTTTTCATTTGTTTATATTATATGTCCGAAGCGATATTAATTTATAGAAATATATTTTATCTAACTACTCCGTTAAATACGAAAGTTTATTATTTGTTTGTGTGTGTTAAGTACTGCTTCACGCTCAGGAGCGGATCTATATACTAGTACATATAGGCTTTTTTGGCTGCAGCCTAAAGCTAAGATATAACGGCCCCCCTGTCGAAAAAAATGGATAATATATTTATAAAATTTAAAAATAATTTAAAAACATATAAGGGCTTCAAATGTTGGCCTAGTACCTAACCCTGAGATCAAATACGACCCAAACAATAATAGCATTATCCTAATTTTGTCTAGTAGATACTATGCATGTATGTAGAGTAACATACAGACTAATATAATAATATTATGATACATATATAATAATAACACGATTATCCTTGTTGTTCTTCCAGGAAGTGACTAATTGTAAGTCAAAAACAATAAAAATGGAGCAATATATTCGTCAGTATGTTAAAAAAAGAAATAGTAAAAAAGTACTAACGCCTGTACATAGACCCAATGCAGTTGTAAACGTTTTACAAGAACGTCAGATTAACGGAAACAATAGAAGCCTTAATGACGCTCGTAAAAGAAAATATTACTGGGAAATCCCGATTGTAAACAAGTCTTTACCTGATTCAACACAAAAAAAAGTTTCGCTGTCTAAGGAAGCAACTGAGAATATAATTGTTAGAAGGCAGGCAATTTTAGAAATGAAACAGACTTTCGAGGAATTGTTTAAAATAATCAACGAAATAAGACCAGTAAGCGAGACACAAGTTTCTGTTAGAAATGGTAATATGAAAATGAAATATCTCGATTTAAATACAGTCGATCCGTCAATTTCGAAATTTATAGTACACGATTCAACCTCCGATAGCGATTGCAGCGAACGAAGTCAGAGTGAGGAGTCTAACCGATCAAATGATAACGTACTTATTACAAACAAATATCACAAAATACAGCCAGAAAAAGTACAAAATGATACGAAGAACGAAATTGAGGAATGGGTAATTGTTATATCTTTGCTACATTATATTAATCTAATAACCCTCATTCTGACGCAGTCGGGTAACAAATATGATCCATTATCTATAAGTACATATATTAAAATTCTAACTAAGCTGAATCTGTACATTAAATATTTTTTGGAAAATCTTATTGAAGTAGACCTAATTTTCGATACAGAGGCCGAATCAATAGTTTTTAGAATTTTTGTCTGTCTGTCTGTCTGTTACCGCATCACGGAAAAACCAGTGGAGGGATTTTGATGAAATTTGGTATGGTGATAGCTAGTTATCCGGGTCAACATATAGAATACTTTTTACCGCGGGAAAATATCTCATTTCTGAGAAAAAATACAAAAACTGCAATGTAAGAGTATACTTAATGTAAAACTAAAGAATTTGGTTTTTGGCCATCTGAACGCGGGCGGAGCCGCGGGCAATGCTAGTATTTTATATGTCAATTTTATGTAAGGGATCACTTTAAGTTTCTTTGTACTACCTTTAATAACGTCACTTCCTTTTGGATAAATTTAAAATTAGTGTTCGTTAAGTACGGCCGCATATTATAAGATTTTTTCTAGCAGAAAATCTCTGATGCCCACCGAAATTTCGAAGAGCCTGACGTCCGCTTCTGATGAATCCCGGATGCCGCTGATTGGACGTCAGAATTTTTCTGACAGAAAAAACTTATAATATGCGGCCGGCTTATTAGAGTAACTGAAGACCAAATGCTATTATATCCACTTCGATCAGTTATATTTGAAAATTCTATTCTATTCATATATTATTTTTTAAATTTTATGTGACCTTCTTCGAGTAGCCATTATTGGATTAATAATTTTGTTGGTACGGCGAAACCACAATAAAAAAAAATTAGAAACAACTTCTTTATATTTTAGATACCTATCGGAAGTGGTAAGACTCTAATACACAAAGACAAGTACAGGAAAGTTAACTGGAAGTCCTACACTATTGCTACCCGGACGCTCCTACTAGCTACATTCCCACGAAGGTACCTGATATAATAAACTAGCATATTTTTAAATAAAACTAGAATTACACGGGAGAGTCTCTCCCGTGACCATGGATGCTGTAAAGCATTCGAAACGTCGGGAACCAAAAATCAAAATAAATCCGCGAAATAATCCGAAAATATAGTTTTATTTAAAAATGTCAAACATTCGCGTAAATCTAAGAAAGTATTATGTAAACTGGCATATTATCAATTATTCATATATTTTGAATTAATTATTATTATTTACAATAAGTTTTTGCTTGTTTTGAATTCTTATCTATTACATTACAAATATTAAACATGTTTATGTTAAGGATATTTTAGTATGCCAAAATTGACTACATATTATTATTTCTAGGATATTAGCGACGCATTCATTGACTGGCAAACGTTCACCTGCATTCCAAGACAAACCTGCAAAGATGTGCCTTGATCCGAAAATCGTTTCAGATATCATTATAGAAATTACATCAAAATTCAAAGTTAAAGAAAATTTGGTAAGGTATGTATGTGGGAATAGTTTTAATAATGGTGAATTTTAAAAATAACAGAAATTCACAAAAATATATTTTTAACTTACTTAATTGGGAAGGTATTATTACAATAATATGTACATTCCGAATAACAATTAACAAATATCCATTTTTCGTTTTTCTTCGACGGTTATTTAATTTTTCTTATAGCCACAATCTAGTATAGTGGGGGTAGCATTCTAAACATATAATAATTTTAAACTTGCTTACACTTATTTACACAATAATTTCAGAGGTATAATAACAACGAAATGCGCAGATGAGTGCAAAATGCTAAAACAACGATTGAAAAATAAGAAATCTAAGAAAGGCTCTCCTCCACAAGGCACTAAGGAAGAATCTACACAATGATTATATTAAGGTTTTAGTTGTAAGTAATATAAATTACCAAAGGACTTTGTATACGTACCTAATATTTTCAGTACCAGTAATACTCATTTATTGCATAATGTTTAACTGAATAAATGTTTTGTTTGTATTATTACTTGCATAAATGGTTTTTTTAATATATTTTGTTTATTTTGTATCTTGAAACAAAAAAACTAAAGGATATTGTATAATATTTCATTTTTGATAAAAAACGTTTTAATATTTTGATTTATATGCATTTCATTAATTTCCATACAGAATCTGTGGCAACCTTGTCAAATGAATTTTAATATAATTATTCGGGCTTTTGGGTGAGAACGTGAGAGATTGAACGTACCTTGAAGTGCCTAGTAATGAATTTTAATATTTTTAGGGTTCCGTACCCGAAGGGTGCCAACGGAACCCTATTACTAAGCTTCCGCTGTCCGTCCGTCTGTCAGAGGGCTGTATCTCATGAACCGTAATAGGTAGAGAGTAAAAATTTTTACAGAGTATGAATTTCTATTGCTGCTATAACAACAAATAATAAAATAAATAAAAATTCAAGAAACATTTTTTAACGTTCGTAATCGATCATCGAAGTTAATATACTACACACAAAAAAGTCATTAATAAAAATTCATGTACGAACCATCGTAAGTGTACTTTCGTCGTTTCATTTTTACGGAACCCTTCGTGATACGAATTCAACTCGCACTTAACCGATTTTTATTATTAATTAAATATTGTCAATAACAAGTTACAGTATTACAAATTAGTAATAGTGTTGTTATTGAAAATAAGTAACGTAACGCCTCCGTGGTTAGTTTCCGGGAAATCAGTTGTTAACTGACATGCCGGCGTATCCGCGACCCTTCAAGCGTATTTTAAAAGCAACTGTTGAGTTTCACTGGCTCTTCTCAGCAGAACTGCTTTCCGAGGCACTGGCAGCTTTCTCATGGACAAGTTACACACGATTTAAAGAACGCAGCGGATTATTTTTAAAATTATGTACCTAATATAATAATGAATGAATGGATTAATTAATGATTACAAACATGGTTTTCCTCTTCCTTCCTTTTGACACCTCCGGAGGTCCTCGATTCGAGTCCCGTCTCGGGTCAAGTTTAGTTATTGAGTCTTTCTGTTTAGTAAACCTCAGTAACAGCCCGGAGTTAAGAAGTTGACGGTGTTTCATCTCCATACCTCGAAGAGCACGTAACTTGTGTTACTGGACGTGTCGAGCAGTCCTCCCAGCAGAGTATAAGAGTTACAGGAATAGAGAGTGCACTTGTGTCTGCGCGCATACCGACACACGCACTTTAATATCTCCCGTGCAGATGACTAGTCTCAATGAGATAAGCCGCCGTGATCGAAATCAGTCGAGAAGACATTACTATTACAAACATCTCATAATAATCATATATATATAAATCAAGCGTGATGGTAATTCCAAAATTTAATTAAATAACCTATCATAATATGAATTATTAATGAATATACTAATTTACAGTAACCAAATCGTATATTTTCAATAAGTATAAATTAAAATCACATTTAAAGAGTATTATCTATTAATTTCCTTGTTGGAAGATTCCGAGTGGAGACAGTATCAAGTCCATATTAGTGCTTGCGATGATCGCTCGCATCAACATCATGTCGTCTGGAGTAAACCTCCATCCGCTTAACTGTCCAAGACTTCGTAGGTTTGGGCACGTTTCCATTAAAAGTTCCACTGTTTCTACAGTAAGACGAGGTGCTATTGGAAACCAAATTCCTTCTAAATTCTCGAAACGATATCGCCTTAGCATCCTGAAATTTAAATTGAATTTTCTTTAAAATATCTTTTAAAAACTAGATAATTACAACTATAATACTTATTTTCAAAAAAAAATAATAATATTATTATTGAAAATTTAAATCAAACTTCAATAATAATACACTTAAAAAACTTGTTTGTCTTTTGTTCATAATTAAGTTAAAAATCAACAATTTACATCTATACAGATAAATAAAATTGAAGTATCTGTTTGTAATTTCAAAATAACAGCTTTTTAATAAATGCATATGGAATTATATACGATACTTATAAAAAAAAATTAAAATTTTTGTTTGTCGGCCTTTGTATTTGTTCCGGCTAATCTCCAAAACGGCTGGACTGATTTTGCCGGAACTTTCACTAACAGAAGATGTTATAAGGAGTAACTTATGGTACCTATTTTCATTTTCAAAAAAATATCGAAATAATTAAAACGTACCTAGAGACCCCAGCGAAGCAAGGGTCAATCACTAGTTTCTAATAAAATAGACAAAGCCACGGATGTTTATAAAATTTAAAGTAACTTGCGCAGATGTTTATAATTAAGTTTACGCTACCAAAATAAAATATATTAATAGATCAATTACATTATTGCTTGTATTATTATCATTTTATCTTTTATTTTCAATTATTATTATGGCATTAAATTTAATGTCAACTTACCGCGCCATATCTTGATCGTCTAACTTTATCTCGTCTCCAATGATTAGCTTTTTAAGCTTAGGGCTTCCTGTCATGAGATACTTCAAACAAGACGATGACAGGTTACCCTGTATAATTTCTATGTGCTCAAGCTTATTGAATGGAACCTCTTCTTCATGAGTTGCCGTTTGTATGGAATAAAATTCTAAACTTTCCAAGTTCTGACAAGTCTCTGCTATCCTCGTAAAATTAAAGGAGCCGAGCGACCCAGAAAGCATTAAAGTCACTATTTTATAACCTATTTTATCCAGTAACTGATGTAACTCATGACACTGGAATTTATTTAGTTTAATCTTATTTAAACAAGTTAAATCTTTAATCATTTGTATCACTCCATGGTCTGGTTCTTCTAAGTAAATAGTTTCTATCATTGGACATAAAACAATGATTGCTTTCATAGTCCTTGAGTTTGTTTGAACGTCGTGTATATATTGAAGCTTTGTTTGGAAACCTGGCGGGCAGTCATTGTTATATATATAGTATAGTGCTTTCCCAACAAATGAATAACTACCCAAATTCGTAAGATTCGGTAATCTTCTAATAAGAAGTGCTACGTCTGTGTGATCTATGTTTTCTTCGCCATACATTCCTATATTCACTACGGTTAAGCTCTGAGTCAGCTGCGGGTTACCTGTGAGCATTGCATCAATTCCAATTTCAGTGATATCGGTTTCACCGGACACGTCGAGTAATTTTAAAACTTTGTTATTTTCACCTATAAACTTGAGCACTTCGTCATTTGCTATGTAAGGTATGTTTAGAGCGGTTAGGTTCGATAAATTCTTTATAATCTCATATAAAAGCGACAGCTGTTCATCTTTAACCCACACACCTTTTAAATTCAGAGTTGTCAAATGTCGGCCTTGTTCCGCAATCAGTTCAAGGACTTTTCTATAAAAGTGACAAGGGAAGATGCCTGTGGCTAAACTTTTCACATTCTCCTTTAACAGTAATCTCATTGTGAAGTATCTGATGGATGGATCCAAATATTCTGAGCTAAGTATTAAATTTAGGAGATCTTGGAATATATCACTTGTCGCCCCCATGCTTTCATAATACGACGACACCATCGTGAAGGGGAGAGCCACATCTTCTTCTGAGGTAACTCGAGACAGAGTATGAATTAATTGTCTAGCTACTAACGATAAAGTCACTTCTTGTAATGGTAGTACGGGGCATTTCGGCGACATTTTCACAACACTTAGTCTATCGCCTCTACTATTGAAAAAAGTCCCACTCACTAGACACCGCACAGATATCACAAGGTACCGTAACTTTCGATTTTCAGAAATAAAAGAAGAGAAAAATTCGTGGAGCTATTTAACGCGCGCTCATCTCACGCTTGGCAGAATGCCAGTGCTATATAATTCACTCACACAAAACCTGAGCATTATTTATAGAACTTTTATATGCAAAACGTGTTTACAGTTTGCGCCGTACATAATACACATTCTAATTTAGTTATATCAAAATATAATGTGATTATATGGGTCACGAATTCCACCTGTGATATTTGGTGTATTATGTCCTTTGGATGAGTTGTAATTCTTTTAAATGATTTTTAAAATGACTTATACTAATAATATGCTACGTTGATTTAAAAGCAAGATTAATATGGCTACAAAAAACGTATGAATCCCGGATCAGAGCGTAAAAGGATTTTAGGCATTTCGTCAATAAATTCGTAATAACAAATCCGAAGTTAGAAAGTTGGGTACTCCCTCTTGCTCGAGTGAGGAATGCCGACTTGACGCATCAACCTCTCCTAGGTGTTCAGCTATCTGCTTGTTGGCCTTGTCTCAATGGTGTTTTATGGCTTGTCGTATTATCGGACTGAGAGTGAAGGAAGAAGTGTGAAAATATATACGCATACGCCTACATATGTCGTGCATATATAATTATCTTAAATGCTAACCACAAAACCAACGATCCACAATGCTACAAATCCAGAGATCCTAGGTTCGAATTTCGGTTTTAGCTTTATTTATTTATAGAGTCTTTCTGCTAAGAACTTTTTAGTTACAGCCTGCAATTGGTAAGTTGGGACAACAGTAGGACACTCCCGTGCCTCCGAGAGGACATAAAATCGTCGGTCCTACGCCTGATCTTCTCGGTGGTATCGAATTTTCCCTTTAGACAGTGAAAGGATAGAGATGGTATTTATATTGTTCGCTATATCTTCTGTACAATTGATGGCTAATCTTACTGAGTTTGGTCGCCATGGCCGAAGTCGGTCAAAAGGACATTATTGTGACTCACGTACGGAAAAGAGAAAAAGTAACATTGTAATATATATTTTAAATGATTTTTTATCAAGTATTATTTGTATAATTGTAGATTATCCTAATACTTACAACTAATTATATGTATGGTCAATGATGACACGTGTTTGAGTTACATCTAAAATGAAACACAATTTACAAAAAAATAATGTTTTTTGTCTTGAACCTATAAATAGCTTACACTATCTAGTGTCTACACATCGTAGTGACGCTAGAAATATTGTACAGTATGGTGTAGTAGATTTTTTTACATTATCTTATATTACCTAATTAAATTTAAAAAAAGTTATGTGAATTTTTTTTTAATTTGACAATTTTATTATGGTAGGTTATAACAATAAATATTTACAATTTACTCTATTTTAAATAATAAAACTATTTTTTTAATGTCAAATATTCGCGCAAATCTAAGAAAGTATTAATTACAAAGAATATTACAAAATTAAAATTAGTTATTTGTTTAAAAATTACTATTTTATGTTTTATTAAATAAAAAGATTGACTTATGTTTTAAACATCAAGAATATTTCAATTTACATTAAACATATAGGAATTTGTCTGTTATAAGGTTTAGAGCTTGCATTGAAACACGAGTTCGATTCCTGCTCGCAATTGTAGTAGACAAATTATAAAAAAAAATGTATCAGTATAACAGTAGCACTTTTTTTACTATTATTCAATTCCTTATCTCAGGAAACCGATTATTAACAAAATGATAATTTTGAGCAGGTAATTATAAAAACAAACCAATTTGAATATTAATGTTAATAAAATTATTCCAGTACAGTCATGTCTCAGTATCGAGATACATCCATCTACGCCATCAGCGACATGTTGGGACATTAACACACAGCACCATCTAGTTCCATGCTAAGCTACGAGGCTTGTGTTATGGATACCAGATAGTTGATACAAATATATACATATTATAAATATAAACACCCATGAATAGAATATGTACAAACATTTGTGCTCATTACACAAATGAATGCTCCCAGCGGGACTTGAACCCGCGACCGCTGGCACAGCAAGTAGGGTCACTACAAACTGAGCCAAACGTGTAGTCAATTTGTTTATATAAATTCAAAACATGATATTCTTTACACACAAATAGAAATTGAAGATTTTTTAAATTTTTGGTCTATCAAAAAACATTTAACAAATTTCATTTATTAACAAATATTAGCCCACTCACTTCAAATGTTAACATATACAATTTGAAACAATTATCGCGCAATTAGTTACAATACAAAATAAAAAAACTTACATAACTATTCATCAAACCAGAGCAAACAAGCTACATCTATCTATCTTTCATTGTCATCGATCAAAAAAGCACTAGATCCACAATCAGCGACAAAACATGTCCTCACATAATGAGCGCTCATTTGTACATTTGAGCGCACTTTTAATTAATTTATTTTTTGTAAAAACAACTTTAAAAATTGTATTTAAGGTTGAATTTACATTGTTGTATATTTAATTTTCCCGGGGGAGAAGCCAACTCCTACCGGGCGCGTCCCCAGGTGGCGGATAGGGGAATGCCACCCGCTTAGGGCGGCGGGTGGTACCGGAGAAATCCGGCGCGGACCAAATGGCTTGGGTGGGGCCGCTCGTCTAGGCCTCGAGCCGAAGACGTTGCGGCCACCGGTGGTGGGACCGCTTGGTCCCACAACCGGATGATGGGTGCCGGTTGCGGGACTGTGGTCGCCGGCCCGCATCCGGCGGAGGAGTAGGCCGCGGCGGGAGAGGAGTGCCGGTATTTCGGTGCGCCGTTCTCCCTACCTTCCGCGGCCTAGACGGGGCCGCCACCGTTTGATGGCGGACGCGGTGGGGCTGCAGGGGAAGAGGAGTGTCGGTGTTTCGTTGCCGCTCTCCCTGTCCTCTGCAGCCGATTGGAGGTGGCCCACTTCGGTGGGCGGTGGTTGGGTTTAATGGGGCTGCTCCGGGTACCTTTCTGGCGTAGCAGAGTTGACTGTGGAGCAGCCCCATTGGTTTGGTGGTCTGCCTATTTAGGCAGACCTGCCGCCGGGGCGCCGTAGTAGTTATGCGCAATCGATCTTGCGGCGTCCCATTAAGGCGGAGGGAAGGGGAATGTCGGGTTTTAGTGGGTAGTACCGGCTCTTCTAGCCGGTGAGCCCCACATCACCACCTGGGGGATCAGGTGGTATGCGTAAATGCATTTCCCGACATAAAAAAAAAAAAAAAATATTTAATTTAACTGGAATAATTAAACACAATTGGTGATAGTTTTAAGAGAATTTTTGCAATTTCCAAAAAAAAAGTCCAATGAAGTTCCACCAACCTTACTTGGCCATACATCCTACGTTGGTACTGGCAAGTTCTTGGCTACCAACAGTAGTATCTGTTCAGTACTGAAACACCAGTTTGCGATATCCTTGGACACCTTGCACCAATGTTCGCCGTGGTGGGGCTCGGCCGCCTTGCAGCGGGACTTCACATCCTCTTGTTGCTGCTCATTGCCGTTGAGGAGTTCGAATTTGTAGAAGAACGCCCACGCATCGCCTAGATCGGGGTCGATTTTCACCTGTAAACGTTTTTAACTTGAATTCCTGTAATACTTTCTTAATTAACGCGAACATACGACATTTTAAATAAAACTATCTTTTCGGATTTATTTTGATTTTTGATTCCCTACGTTTCGAATGCTTTACAACAATCATGGTCTATAACAAGTATATAACCTTCGAGACGTCTAAAACCTTATTATCTCCCGTGACCATGTTTGCTTGCATTGATTGCAAATCCACGGAAAAACCGAAAAGATTTAATATTTATTATTAATCGATAATTATTATCTCCATTACGATTTCACTGCTATTCCTTTCAGTCTCAGACCCCAATAAGATGACAATTTGACACTTGCGGTATGAGATCAGGCGCACGGACGACGCGACACGAGGATGTAAAACCGCCTACTTCCCAAAACCAGAGAATTTCGTGACAGAAACTAAGAATCAGTAGACTCAGAATACCAGTCGCCTGACCAGGGCGTCTAGATAGAGAAATCGTGCGTGGTGTACGAAGAGAGCTGCTTATGTTGTGTTGTCATAGGAATGTGGGACGGTTTGAGAGTCGACTATAACTTTGTCTCCGGTCACCATAAATATTTTTTGATATGTTTTACCGCATCTTCGTCAAGTTAAAACGCCATCACCATATGGATTTTTATACTATGACTAGCGGCTCACCCTCGCTTCGCTCGGGTTCACCTCTAGAAAAAGACTAATAGAGATCTATTAGTTCCCACGGGAACCGTTCATTTTCCGGGATGAAAAGTAACCTGTTGTTTGACCGACAATATAAGGTCTCAGAATGTTAAATTTTACTAAATTAGGTGCATATGTTGTTGTGTACTAAGCTGTATAAGATACTATAGTTTTTTAACTATCCCACGGGAACTCTTTAATTTTCTGGGATGAAGTATCTAAGATGTTGAGCGGGGGTATAAGGCACAACCATGCAAAATTTCATTTAAATCGGTCCAACAGTTTCGGAGATTAGCCCGTACAAACATACAAACAGACAAACTGAAGAACAGACATACAGGCAAACAGACAATTTTTTTAATAACTATTGTTTTGGGGTCTATGTTGTGTTCATAATACGTTAGAAATAAACGAAAACATCTATCCCACGGAAACCGTACATTTTTCCGGGATAAAAAGTAACCTTTTTGTTATTCTGATGACCTATATTATTCTAAAGTTTCATTAAAATCCAATCAGTAGTTTTTGTGTACTAAGCTGTATAAGTTATTAGTTTTTTAACTATCCCACGGGAACTCTAATTTTCCGGGATAAAAAGTATCTAAGATGGTGCCCGGGGATATAAGGTACCACCATGCAAAATTCCATTTAAATTGGTTCAATAAAATCTGAGATTAGCCCGTACAAACAGACAAAAAGACAGAGAAACAAAAAAATTGAAAAAAATCTGGATTTGTTCTATTTGTCTTCTTACATCCCCCTGACTCGATTTTTAGCATTTTTTTGCTATGTACAGACATTCAACCTCTACTGTTACTATTATAGTATAGATAATAGAAATACTCACTGTTCTGTTAAACCATTCGCGACATTTATTCAGTTTTCTCTCAGTCCAGAACAGCTGCGAGACGGCGAGCAGCACGTGCGCGTCGTGCTCACACTTCTTTAGTGCATCCACCTGTGAGTACACAGAAGTTATGATTAATAATTAATTAATTATGAATGTATACTTCATTATATCTATTTATTTTTCGACGTATTAAAACTCAATTATACTAAGATATACAGGGATACGCATCGGTCAAAAAAGTATTACATACGCAATCCTATGCAAAAGTTCTCATTTAACTGTCACCAATTGTGTTTGGGTAATTCTAGTTTAAGTAAATATACAATAATATCAATTCAACCTTAATTACAATACTTCAAAAAAATAAACAAATTTTCAAATGACCGCTCATTCAGTGAGGATGTTTTTTGTCGCGTTGTTTGTGTACGAGATAACAAAAGTGAAACTTAACGAAAAGCTCTAAATCGTTTGGCTTATTAATTATTGAATTATTAGTCCTAGAGACATAATAGAAGTGCAGCGTCATTATTTTAATCAACCAGTCAGATAGATCAGTCAATTAGGTCGTCAGTCATCATTCAGTCCAGGCGCGGATCCAGAGTTAAATTTTGGAGGGTCATAGGCTGAAATTTTTGGAAATATGTCGAAAACTTTGAGGTTATTGTAATAGTCGTAGATTTTTACTAGACCTAGGTACAACTTTTGTAAAGAATATTTTTCGGTAAGATGTCACAAAAGCCAGAAATTGAAAAAAATACAATTTTAAACGGTTTGCTATACTTGTTTGCTATAAATGTCTTAAAAACATAAAACTTCCGGTTTTTTGTGTAGCACATCGCGATCGGAATATTTGTATAGCGCTATTTAAATTAAAGAAAAACTTAATAACGAATAAAAACTTAATTTGTTTCGAATTAGGTACTTAAAAAAATTGTATAATTCCTTCTTTTCTTAGACTTTCAATCTTTAACACTTAAAGAGACTTGCTGACATAAATGTGTCTCGATTTAACAGCCTGTATCCTCGACTCAGCAAACAAGTATAGTAATCGACAGATATCATCATTGTTTAACAAAGAAAAAAAATACTAAAAGACAAAACAAAAATAAATTCAAAAAAAATCACAAAAATAAAAACAAATTATTATACTAATTTATAAAATAATAGCTTAATTATTTCATACAAACAAAAAAAAATAACTCACGCTCTTAGTCTTCCTCTGCGGGCGCGCCTCCATGAATATGGCGTCGGCCCACAGCCGGCCGGCCGCGGGGCACTCCTGCAGCGCCTTGGCCAGCAGCGCGCCCGCCGCCTCGCCGCAGCCCGCGCGCCGCTCCAGCCGCACGCTCTCCAGCCTATATTATACACACGTTTTATAAACATAAAATGAGGCGTCTAAGTACCCCCGGTCGTAACGAATTTCCTTTCGCTTTTTGGTAGACGTTAGCTTCTATACAGTCATTATAATTTATATTATAAAATATCAAGTAAGAAAAAATTACAGAAATCCACGTCACGCATCCATAATATAAATCATTCCTACATATACATAATTAAACCTTAAGCCCTTCTCCTTTTTTGTCAGTCGGTTAACAAAAATTAAACCAGTACATACCAGAGCTCTGCATTCTTCGGATTCCTCAACCTAGCCTTCTCTAGAACTGATCTCGCTTTGGTCACGTGCTTCAGTTTCTCCTCGAGCCTGGACAGCAGGATCCACATCGGCACACATGTCGCACACTTCTTCAGCTAAAACATTATAACAAAATTGATTTCAACTTATTAGACAATTTTATAATAAAATAACATAAATATTATAGCAGCGAATCTACATTATTGCCGGAAAAAAATCGTTTACAAATAACGTTTGTCACTGAGTCAGTAAGTTAGTGAATGTTGTAACTGCTTAAAAAGGATTACAGTGCTAAATGGACCCGGAAATAACTATACTATATTGATTGCCAGACATGTAAATTATTATCATCGGCAAAAACTATTATTTTATTAAATTATTAAATAATTTAATAATAAATTTAATTAATTAATTAAGTACATACATACTTCCGCGCCTCACTGAGTTTATATTCGTTGAGCTAATCTCAGAAACTACTGTACGTTATTATCATAAAAAGCAACTAATTTATAAACGTTCTGCAAAAAACCATGTAATTAAAAAAATTGTGAATTAAAAGAGAAAATAATCTTCTAGAAACCTCGTTAATATTATGAATGCGTAATGTATCTAGTGAAATATATATGTGAAATATAATATGTAAGAATTTAATTCTTACCAAGGGACGGTATAAGAAACCCGTTCGCACTTTACCATAATTATTTTACTTTTACATCACTTCAACTCACTCTATAAAATACACTGCCTTTCTTTTTACAAAATACCTCTTTTATACCTTACAATTTTTCCACTTCCACATATTTCAATTAAAGAGTATATGTTTTGACTTTATATTAAAAATCATAATTCATACTAAATACAGTTTTTAGTGCTGCCTTCTCTACAAGCTTGGCAGGAAATAAGTATTTCATTTGATTAAATAATAGTGATAACTACATTTATTCTATTCTCATACTAGTAACAATTCATAATATTGCTAACAAATAAGAGACACTTACACCTAGCGAGTAAGTGTTGTAGGCTTCATCGTTCTTGCCCATTTGCTCCTCGATCTGCCCTTTCATCATATGCAGTTTGGCGTAGTCTCCGAATACTTTGATGGCTTCCTCTAATAAATTCAACGCTACGTCCAAGTTATTCAATGCCCATTCCAATTTTGCTGATTTTATCATAACCTGTCGAAATTAATAGATGTTATTTCAACTAAAGTAACTAGACAATTGGCAGAAAATGAATAAGCAAATAATAAGTAAAAACAGGCAAAAAGTGACACATCTAATTTTCTTTTTAAACTACAACTTCATAGAAATAGCTCCTAAATGTATTTGAACCACACATTCGTAATTAGTATAAAATACACATTTTACTTTCAAAAGTCCAAAAATGTACTTTGTCTATACATGAACACTAGCAGAAGCCACGGGAACTTCGCCCGCGTTCAAACTACAAAAAGACAAACTTTTCTTTGCCTTCCCTTTATAATAATGTATGGAAGTCTGTCCCATTTGTTGACATTTATGATTCCTGCTCCGCTTCCTTGAATAGTAGCATGATGATATATAAGCCTATAGCCTTCCTCAATAAACGGGCTATTAATGCAAAATATTCGATTTGGAAAATTCTTCCGAATCGTATTAGTTAGTTCCTGAGATTCACGCGTTCAAACAAACAAACTCGGCCTCTTTCTAATATTAGTAGAGATAAATCTAAGAAATAAACCTTTAAAGTACAACAAGTATTGGTAGTTTGAACAAATAAGCATTAAGGCATCGATATATTAAGTCCACTCACCCTCGGAGTAGGCGCAGAAGCCCTGGCTTTAGCGAGCAACCGCCTCGCTCTATCATACTCTTTATTCTCACTCTCCAACTTCACAGCCGCTAACCAAATCTCCTCAGAATTGGGATTGGCTTGAAACGCTAGAGATAGGATACCTCTCGCTGCTGGAACATCGCCTATAAGAAAGTATATAAGTATATGTAAGTATATGTTGTAACACAGATTACTGCGATATTGTTTACAGTAGTTTCTTCCTCTCGTATTAAAAGGGCCCTAAAAAGGGCTGAATACATGAGTCCCTTATCTTGTAACTAGATGGCGCTAGTTGTATTTTTTGTCGCGCTAACTTAGTCTTGTTATAAAACGTATAACTTTAGCGAAATATTTGTTATTGTATCAATTCTTAGGGACCTTTGAAGGACTGCTGGAACCTAATTTAAAAACTTCTTAGGATTTAATACACTTCAACCAACGACTGATTTAAGTAAAACCTCCATCTAATGAGATAGTCTGTACACGTTGTAACGTACTAAGGTATATCTATGTACCATAATTGATAATAATAAAGTATACTACGCGTGCTTCTGAATTATCATTCCATCACGTTCATTCATCACATGCACACACACGCAGCACGTACACACACGCACGAACACGCACGCACACACACACGTGTAACCTATATATACAGACCAGCGAGCCACTTGGACTTGGCGCCCATGAGCCAGAGCACCTCACTCTTGGGGCAGTGCGCGACGGCGCGCTGAAGCAGCGCCTCGAGCGACGCGCGCGTGCCGCGCTGCTTCTCCAGGTACGCGGCGCGCAGCCAGATGGACTTCTTGGACGGGAACACCGATAGCGCGTACCCGTACACCGCGCGTGCGCACTCGTACGCGCCCTCCGACGCGCACTGAATAGATACACTATATTATAGTATACATAGGTATAATGATCCTTTACCTAAGAAATTATCGATTCCCCATACAAACTTCGACAACGAAAGGCAACTATAAAGAAAAAACATTCAATCCCAATAGATTGACCAATATCAACATAATAATTATGCAAAAGGATAAATCGCCAAACGTTTAAATAAGTAATAAAACTTTCACTTACGGCTTCAGCATCTTCCATCCACGTGTGTTTTTGGTCTTCGGGTTCAATGCCGTTTCCAATCACAGCCCGAATGATAGCCTTATAATTAAATATAAATGATAAATATAATTAAATGTCCTGGTTTTGCTATTTTATTTTTTTTATTTAAAAAAAAACAAGTTTCAAGTAACATTAGGCATAAAAAAAGATTTTTATATAACCTTTACTATTATTAGTCTATTCTATATAAACAAGTTTCGGAATCAAGATCATTAGTTTTAGAGATGATCTTCTACATATAAACTTAAAACATTACCTGACAAGTATGTACGGCGCCAGATTTCTCAGCTTCCATTGCCTCCTTGAACCAGTGCTCGCGATTTATCTCAACGCCGTTGGCACTGAGCGAGGTGATCGCACGATCTATTATCTTCTCCACCATGTGTGTATTACCTAAGGGATACAGATTATATATTACATATATCATTATAATTATACAAATTAAACAAGACGCTTTTGCCATGTACTTTAACAACTATAATAATAATTAATCTTTAGATAGAAAGGTATACCAACAATTAAGATAATTTTAAAAGTAAAAGAACCTTTGCTTGAAGCAACCAATTCATTAAAAACAACATTTAAAAAATCAGTTTACAATTGGCTAACATATTACATTAGTCATTACACACAAAACAAGAAGTAAAACTGACAAATAAACATACACTCTAATGAGCACTTCTAATTGAGTCTAAAGTCCCCGTCTATGTGGTGGATCACTCACTCTTTTTCCAGGCGAAATATATTTTTTAAACCATATAACATATTAACAAACACGACCCAGGGGGCTGTCATCAAAAATTGGCTCCAGGCTATTTTTAATTTATAATGTTTTATTGTTTAAAAATATACTTATCCCAGAAAAAGAGTGAAAGGTCCACCACATAGATCGCAATCTCCTACTATTTGAAATCGGTCAAAAAAATAATAATATACAAAACTAATTGTAAGATTAAGAACATGTTGATAATCAATTACATACCATGAGCTTCCTCCAGTTTAGCAGCCGTGACCCAAATCTGTCTGTCTGTTGGTATATTCTCTCGGGCCTTATTCAGAACTTTCCTGGCATTTTCGTATGTTTCCAGTCTCGCTAAAGCTAGCCAAAGCTCTACACTCGTCGGACAACATTCCACTGCTCTGGAAAGGAGTATTCTGGCATCTTCTGGGTTTTCCAATTCCACTGCGGCTTTCCATAGACGGACTGAGTTGGGTATGTGTTCTAAGGCCTTCCGGTATACACGACGTTTTGCCTGGGAAATGTTAAGTTAAATATCAATATCATCTACATTAATGTTTGCTCGTACATATTCAACAAGCTGCATTTATTACCCTTAAGTTTTAACGTTTAGTATAGATTTCTCAGAGATATTTTCTGCAGTATAAAGTATCCTACATGTTGACCTAGATAATCAGTTATCATCATACTAAACATCAAAATCTGTCCAGTGGTTTTCTCATGTTGCGTTTCCAGACAGACAGACAAAAATTCTAAAAACTATAAATTCAGCTTCTGTATTGATAATAATTACTATTTCAAAAAAAATCCAAAAAGTATTTAAAGTACAGATTTAGCTCAGTTCCAATTTTATTATATGTATAGATATTGTTTATAAAAATGAGGTTTGATTGTTTATAAGTAGCACAAGCTTTAGTTGGACAGTAAGCTTTTGCTTTTTAAGTTTATCTACGTAGATGTTTTTACTAAAAGCATGCAATTTTTCACGAAAAAAAAATGATTTTTTATAACTATTATTATTAGAGCCTTTCAGCTTTCTCTATCTGCTCTCCAGGTCATATAGTAAATTTTCGTGGTATCCGCATTGCCAATGGATGGACCTAGACCTACTGAACGAGCAGCTACGCCGAAGCTTACTCGCCCAGGTGCTAATTAATTATTATATCATAACAACACTATATAGAGAACAAAAAACGCTTAAATTAATGACACAATTGTTCTAAATAACAAATCCTTATTATAGTATATCATCGATTAATACCTTGGTCTCTTGTTCCAAATCCGCTGCCTTCACCCATATCCTGACGCTATGGGGCAGGTTCCGTGCCGCGTGAGCGATCACTGCCCGCGCCGTGTCCGGCGGCTGGAGGCGGGCTGCCTCTAGCCATAACTCCTCACTACTCGGGTTCACTTCACAGCCTTTCATTATTAGATTACGAGCTGATTGGACTTTGCCTGTGGAATTTCATTTATTATTCATAATTATTGAAATCAACTTATGTGTGAAAGTTTATAGGTGCTTGTGTTTTTAGATTTTTTTACACTGTAATAATTTAAGAAATTTTAATCTGCCAACCAAAATCATTTATTTTTTAATATGGCTGCGACTATTCACCCGATCTAATAAAGGTTTAAGGGAAGCTTTCCCGTAGCTGAGCCGTGGATCGATTAAATTCCAGCTCGGGCGAATAGTCACTTTGTTTTAATATTTACAAAATATAAACCCAGTGTGCAGACTTAAAGCTACTGTGCTTTGATTCAAAGTGTTTGTATTGAAATTCTCAGAACAAGATTACATTTGTATTAAATGTTAATGTTAATATATTTGCATAATAACAAATAATAAAAATGATTTTAAAATAGTTTAGTTTTTATAGACTGATTATATAATAATGTATAAAAGAAGATACCTGTAACTTCTTCTAACCGAGCACTAGCAATCCAAGCTGGGGGATGATTAGGATTAGTTTCACGCACAGATTTCAAAAGCAGTCTGGCTTTCTTAATATCATTTATGTCACCACCGTATGTCGGTATCATAGATTGAAGATCTGTTAGATAGCCTTTAGGATCAACTACAGTTTGTCCTGTTACTGAATCGGAGACTTGAGACAGTTTGACTGTCATTAGTGTGTTTCTTGCTTGACCTATCTTCCTAAGATCCAAATCACCTGTAAAATGCAAAAAATAATTTATTGAACTGTATATTGTGATATGTGCTCTAATCTTTATATATATGGGTGATTCTACAAAAAATGGGTAACTCGATGTCACCAGTCAATAAAATGATGTATTATTACATTTTGTTTATAATTTATAATTAATTCTAATACAATTAAAAGCCATTTATTTGGTCACCCAATTTCAGCCATCCATTATAAATACAAATTTGTGAAACTTCACAATATATCCTCAAAACGTCAGTACTTTGGCGTGTCACAACGTCAAAAGCGCACAATCAAATAGCTGTGTATTAAATATTACCTTTAATATAATAAAATTTATTATTTAACTATAATCTGTGATGTATTTAATAATATATGATCACAACTTTATATTATAATATTTTCGACTTTGTTGTAAAAATAATAAGAAACTTTGTGTTCAGTTTTATTCGTCAGTCCGTTGTGTGTTGTTCGAATTTGAATATCTCGTTAAATACCGGCGACTTAAATCCAAATCCGCGTTAAACTTTAAGTTTGGTAATAAAGTTAGCTGCAGACCGCGTCTTTGTTCGGCCGTCATTTCTGTGCCGGTGCTAGAGTTGTGTTTGTCGTGTGAACACGTGCCGACCCAGACAAAATGTCAGTCCTATGGTGAGTCGCTATTTTTTTGTAAATTTGTGTTATATTTTAATTTAAACATACTTAACTTTGATTTGTTAAAATGTAACTTATTGATATTCGAAAATATCAAAATAAACGTTGGTTCTAAAGACAACCTCAAATACATGTTTGTTTCGTCAGTCCGTTGGCGTCAGTCCGTTGTCTGATATTGCGCCAAAGGACAGACGTGTCTCCAGGATACTGACTTGTTGGGCGTGTTTAATCATTTTTTTTAATTATTTCAGTTTACATCATCATGGCTCCATAAAAACAAACAAAATATGTCTAAGGATAGAGATGAAATATTGAAACAGAAAATAAAGAAGAGAATTAAATTAGCTGAATATAAAAAGAAAAAAAGCAATGCTTGAAAAAGAAAGGAAAGGGACAAAGAAAAATATTAAGGACATGACGCCTCCGGAGCAACGATCGACGAGAAAAGAATGAAAAAATATTCATTAAAGTACAGGCAAAAAAAAACAACTCTACTACAGATAATTTGATTTTGATTTTGTTGACAAAAAGATCTGATTTTTATTACTAGCCTATATGGCATAGATTGTTATTTGTAACCAACATAACGATATTATACAAGTCAGAAGGTTGTTTTGAAGACTGATATAATATTACTTGATAATTGTTATTATGTTAATTGGTACCTTTAAGGCAGAGAGAGTTATATTTTTATTTCAATTGTTTGTTGATTACTTAGAAAATGTAAATATATCGTTAAGCTAAACTATCTATAAGTAGTAAAGTTAAGTTCATAAAAAGCTGCTTCAAAGGTGGAGTAAGTTGTTCCTCACAGTATTACGTAAAAAATATTTTTTTAATTGTTACTTAAGTGAATTAAGATTAAAAGTGAGACTCAAAATATGTGCCATTATTAGTTCCTAAGAGATTTCTTCTAAATTTCAATAAATTTCTTGCATATCTTATGAAATTGTGTATTTCATCAGTACTTTGTCACTCACGTCAGTCCCCTGGTTTCGGAATTCGGAAAAATCGAAATATCTCCGCATCTACATTAAAAAGTGACTGGCCCTATCATGAGCAATATTTTCATTAGATTAGCTGTCTTATAATCAGAATTCGTAGGAATTTGATTTAAAAATTATCATAAACAAAATATCCTAAAAAGTTACCCAACTTTTGTATATCCGCCCATATAATTCTTCTGTGAGGGTGTATGTCACTGAACTTCTCTCAAACGACTGGACCGATTTTGATGAAATTTTTTGTGTGTGTTCAAGGGGATCTGGGAATGGTTTAGATTCACAATTTGAATAATAATTTTCATCAAAAAAATTATTAAAAAAAGTTTGAAATTTTCAAATTAAAGACGTGTAGACAGGACAACGTCTGTCGGGTCCGCTAGTCTATATATATATAAAAGGCAAAAGTGATTGACTGATGTATCAACACACAGGGCAAACCCTTAAGGCTAGAAAAATTAAATTTCGCACGCGTAATCCTTTTATGACATAGGCATCCACTAAGGAAGGATTTTTCAAAATTCAAACCCCAAAGGGGTGAAATAGGGGATAAAAGTTTGTATGAAAATTTTTATTCCTTGGACATATTTGCATGAAAGCAAAGCCGCAGGTTCTGCTAGTATATTATAAATCATAATTACTTTGTTGGTAAATATTAAGTTATATAGATGTTTTTAAAAAATAAATCATATTATTTTTAGTTACTGCTAACTTAAGTTCATGCTATATGCTGTATAAGGGAGAAAAAGACTTAAGAGAGGGAAAAGTGGAAAACACTAATATCTAAAATATCTCATCCACTTGTTACATAATCAATCTGCACATACATATTCATGAGGGGATCATTACACTTCTGAGTTCTGACTTATTTACCATATACTAGTGATCGCTCCATGGTTGAAATTCAACCATAATTCACTAAGTTTGATCCATATTGAGGTTCTTTTTTAAAAATTATACAGATAGCCTATAAAATACAAAATACATGCAATATGCTTAAAAAGGGATTCAAAGTTTTCTCTATACATATTAATATATAGATGTCACTTCACCTATACTATTACTGCATACTTTTTATGACTTTCATCTCGCACAAAAAACAATAAATATTTAAAAAATGAATAAATAATGAGACATCCTTCACAATATTCTTAAATATATAGTCTCACTGGTATATTGTTTCTATTTATAATTTATATCCATAAAAATGGCAAAAAACATAGATCACATTGATTAAATCAACAAGCACACAAAATTGTAGTATAAACTAAGTAAATACCTGAAGGTGTTAACATTCCAGGAGTCATAACACCTGGCATCATGGAAGCTAATCCAGAGCTTGGATCAATAGTTGACGATGATTCTCCCCCAAGATTTCTAGATAGAACACTATCTGGTAAGGGTGTGAATCTCTCAGCCCTGGGATTGCGTTGTTTTCTGTTTCTTGCATCTCCCACTTCTGGTATGGCTGCCCATTCATCTTCAGATACCATTTTTAGTTCTCTCTTCAAATCCGAGAATTGTTGTTGTATTTTAGGTCTGTCAATAGGAAAAGTTATGTTAGTAAATATTTATAATTACTACTTTTATTTATATTACTGTGTTTATTGATTTAATTAGCTTTCACCTTTCTTGACGATATCTTTCTAAGTCTTCTTTAAGTCTTTTTTCCCTATATTCTTTTCTTTTCTCATCCATTCTTTTGTCAATAGATTCATAAATGGCGTCAGCTTCTGCATCATCTTTATCATAAGGATCCTAGAAAAATAATACCAGATATTTGGAATCTATTCATTATGTTACATATTTTAAAAATATGGAATAATATGAAGATAAATACATACCTTTGAAAACAAAGAACCACTATATCCTGAGAATTCGTCGTAATTGGAATCATTAAGGTCTTCATCATCATCTTCTTCTTCAGTTTTTTTACGCTTAGCTGCAGGTGGAGCATGGCGGTCGTCACTGTAGTTTAGAATGCAATTAATGAAAACATTTCTTTAATACTGATATTTTAAAATTCTTGTTAATATGTGTGATACTTACGATACATCATTAGCGTCTCTGGCAGGGCCAATATCAGATCGTGTGGTAAACCCAGTAGCACTGTAACAAAGATTAGATAAACAGATACAATATTTTCAATTCTATTATTTATTTAATGAGTGTAAACATTATTTTGTCTTATTTTAACTAATGTAAATAATACATAGTAAATAAACGCACCCTCTACCAACTCCAGCTACATAACCTAGTGGTGCCGGAATTCCTAAAAAATGTTTTTTATTTTTATTTACAAATGCTTGAGGTGGCACTGACATCTTAAAATAGTCAGTTTAGACCGAAAAATAAAAATAATTCTTCTTTTGTTATGTTGAAATAAAGCGCAACAAACACTAACAAAAATTGACAATCTTGACAATTGACATTAGCAACAATATAATAGACTATGATTAACAATTTGTCAATTGAATGGAACAGATAAATCACAGAATAGGCGACTCAGAAGTGTGAAAAAATAAACGATAAATGAAAACGATAAATACCTGTCTACGGGCGTGAAGATGTAGTTTATTTGTGTGATAAGAAAAATGCATGAATCAATAGGTCTCTTTTTAATTAAATTATATAAAATACTAGCGAATTTCGCTCGCCACTCTTGTGCGTCCCTAGGTACAAATGATTTCGTAATATATTATTTTTATATAACTACTAGCAGAACCCGCGGCTTCGCTCGCGCAAAGAATACAGAAAATCTCTAAAAAATTAGGTCTCATACAAATTTTCATCCCCTATTTTACCCTCTTATGGAATGAATTTCGAAATATCCTAAAACACGTATTTAACTGTATTGAAGAGCATTAATACCAAATTTCAAGTAATTCTGATCATAAATAATTTTTGGGTGAAAAGTAGCCTATGCCACTCTCCAGCCCTCAAACTATCTCCTCACAAAAAAATCACGTTAATTCGTCACTTCGTTTCGACGTGAGAGAAAGACAAGCAAACACACTTTCACATTTATATTATTAGTATGGATTGGCTTACGCGAAATACGATGTTAAAGCTCCCAGTCGGAATGATTATTTCCGACATTTTAAACATCATTTCAGTCTATTTATACAAAACCTTAATGAATTATACACCTAAGCCTACTTCAATAATCACTCCATATTATTGGTGAAAATCGTATGACAATCTATTTGGTAGTTTTTGAATTTATCGCGTTCGGACATACAGACCTGTCGGGGAACTTTGTTTTATAGTATGTAGTGATTGTATCTAATATCTACTGTCAACATATAATATGTTATCTATACATATAATAAAATTCTAACTATGCCGAATTTATACATTACATATTTTTTGGAAAATTTGATTCAAATAATATCGGTCAATATTATCGATACAGAGGCCGAATCTATAGTTTTTAGAATTTTTGTCTGTCTGTCTGTTACCGCATCACGGAAAAACCACTATAGGGATTTTGATGAAATTTGGTATGATGGTAGCTGGTTATCCGGGTCAACATATAGGTCACTTTTTACCGCGGGAAAATGTCTCATTTCTGAGAAAAAAATATAAAAACTGCAATGTAAGAAAGAGTACATATACTAATATGTAAAACCTAAGAATTTGGTTTTTAGTCATCTGAACGCCGGCGGAGCCGCGGGCAATGCTAGTATGTAAATAAAATTAAAACTTTATAAAGTAATGGTTTTATTTAAACATATTTATAAAAATGTAAATTACTAATTTATGTATTGTTAGTTTTTTCGAAACCTTGTTCGTGCTTTATATGTATAATTTATATTTTATAGGGAAATATTATTATATTTTATATGAAAAAAAAAGGAATTGTAAAGTAAACGGCCTTTTCAAATCAATTATATAGATATTTATTAGAAAGGAAACTGGCTTCTAATTTAAGAAATGAATAGTTTGGTTAGCAATACTAGAATCATAATCTACGAATAAATTATTTATTCGTAGACTATTACCATCAATGTTCATACTTCATATTTTAATGTCTGCTTGCTGCTGTCTATAGACTGATATTTTGTTAAGAAATTATCGTAAAAACAGTGTTTAAGTATTTTTTAAATTAAGTCGTAATAAACACTCATTCTCGACACGGCGCACTATGGGAAAGCCCCATACAAAGCCGTCTCAAAACCGTTTCACGAGAAAGTCGTTGTTATGAAATAAAAATAATTAATTAATATAGTCTAATAAATAAGCTTTCTTTATCCTATTTTTTTTTTATAAATGTATATAAATAGGCTTCAAAGCTAACTCATGTTAAATAACGTAATTTTGACGCAATACGTTACTACAATTCAACGCCACATTACTCGAAAGTTTTTGATATAAATGTATAAGTATTATACATTTTTTAAATGCTTATAATCTCCTCTTAACGTTTCGTAATTAGTATTATATATATTAGTTTGATAAAATAAAATTAACCAATATAGTTTAATATGGTATGTTTTTAGGGTTAATTTTTTTTAACGAGACGTTTACCCATTACCGCTGCTTGCCGCTGTCGAGATATTTGTTGTATTAAGATCTTTATACATTAGCTGGAGCAAGGAGTGAAAAAAAAATTGCACATATTTGCACTTTTTTGTCACGGTGTCAAAACATATCGCGAGGTAAAAATCATTATTGTTTCAATTTCTTTTTATTTCTCATAAAATAATTTGGTATCTTTTAAGGTCAAATTGATAAAAAGTTCATTACAGTGATGAGTATTATTAATGATATGAATGCATGTATTTTTTTAAGTTTTATTTCTTAAATTAATTAATAAACAGAATTTTCAAAATCAAAATTATTTCAATTAAACTTTGTACATACAAGTATATGTGTGCAAAATTACAGCTCATTTAGTTTTGAAACAACTGAGATACGGAGTTTTGAGACGAAACATACGCGATTTCCCATAGTGCGGCGTGGCGCTGTGGCGGCGGCGACGCGCAAAGGCGAAGAGCGGCGAGCCTCGGTCGTAATTTTTTTTTGTGAAAACAAGTTTAAGCATTGCATTTAAGGTTCAATTTACATTGTTGTATATTTATTTCAACCAGAATAATTAAACACACTTGGTGACAGTTTTACGAGAACTTTTGCATGAGATTGTGTATCTAGACTACTTTTTGATCGTTTGATGATTGTAAAATCTTTCCAGTACCAGGAACAATTTTCGGCACAAGTTTAGTATATGGAACGCGGCCCCTGGCGGAGTGGGTGGTATTTTTGGATAGAGTAGGTGACAGGGAGCCCAAATATATAAAAATTATTTTAAGGAAACGTAGAAGTAAAAAGTTATTGAGACTTAAAGTTACAACATTTCCATACTTACTTACTTACTTTTTTTATGTTAGTTAAATACACCCATTTAGTATCCAAATTAGATTTATTTAGATTCATCTCTTTGTAGTGCTTATCCGCTTTGGGCTAAGAGGTAGGACAAAGCGAGTTTTTAAACAGTTTTTATTTTTTATTAAAAAAAAAAATTCTTAGGCTCAAACTAAGACAATATTCCTATCTAATATTGAAGTTCGATTACTACTGTGTCGGATAGAATAATATTTAGTTAGTAAGTCGAAGAAAAACTAAAAATTCTAGGCCTTCTTAATTAGATTACCCGCTTTAGGCCACCCTCCCCTATATGTTAATCGAACATAATTGATTATGAGGATATAAAATTGTCTGATATCTTCCCGTAGGTTTAAAAAGCCATACCAGAGAATTTATTCATGGGTATGTACGATAAGTAACTGACTGCATCATTTTGTGGTTAGATTTAGGAATGAGAATTAAAAGAAGAGCTTTGGTAAATTTAAAATAATATTTATTTGAATTAAGGACTCAATTTTTAGTCTTAATGCTTGTCAATGTAAAGGTGCATAAGAAGATTTATTTACAAACGTATTAAGCTGTTCAGAAACTCGAGGAATTTCTCATCACGCGTTTAAACACAAAATTTCAATACCAGTTTCTTCATCAATCCTCACGACAAAATTACTTTCTTCATCGTCTGAAAAATCATCATCATCGATCTGCTTTTCTTCAACTTTCGATTTGAGCTTCAAGACGTCGAACGAGCAGGATTTTTTATTGCCTTTGATGTAGTGAACCATATCTGCAACATATTCTTCAACGTCAGTCTTCATCACATAGGCCATAGCTATATAATTCTTGAGCTCATTTACGTCAAATGTACGCATTAATACTCGTCTTTCCTTTTCTTCCATTCGGTCAAAGTATGGACATTTTGGTGTATTTTCTGATAACTCTATAAGCATTCGATTTCTTAGGCCGTCTAATTTTTCAATTTCTTTCCAAACATCAGCGTCTCGTTTGAATTTATTCATGAACTTCAACTTAATATAAGACATCAGCTGTTGCATTTCAACAGCAAAGTTGTCACTGTTTATTTTGTCGTAATCAAACTCCTTGGAAATATCAGTGCTATCACAAAGTTCGTTATTGCGATAAACGATGCAATTTCTCTTAAAGAAAGGCGCAGCAACTGAAAGGTCGATTTTTTCCGGGTCTTCATTGAATGCATGAAACACAACCGTTTCATAATCTACGCCTTTATTCAACTCTAAACATTTGTCTATACTTTCCCGGCTGATCATGCCATTTGTGACGATGTACAGTAATTTGATTCGATCACTTTCATGAATAATGTAGTTTTTTCGGAGGTGCCGTATAAGACACCCTGGATCTCTTCGTTCACAAATATGGACATTTGATAACTCAGTCACGTCGCCACTAGTATGATGCTTCATTCCAACGATATCTTCATTGACCTCCCAACAGACGTCGCCCCAGTGCAAGTAAAGAGTTACCCATTGTGCCTGAGGCTCTTTACCAACCAATAATTCTTCTTTGATTCTTTTCTCATCCTCTTTGAACTGTTCAAGAGTTTTCAAGCCGTTTTCGTGATAATGCTTGACTCCTTCTGTTGATCCCGAAAAATCTTTCGCGTAAATAAAATAATGAACCATTTTTACGTTGTCTCAACTTTTCCTCATTTGCAGTGAAGCAATGTTCCGTCCGTTGACGACTAATGTACACTGGTTCTACGTTAATAACAACAGTGTGTGTTAGTCATCAAGTTATTCTTGTCGATGACGTATTGGCGCGGGTTTGATGCAGATAAGGGCTTCCTGAAACAAAAATAATCCTATTAGGACGGAATTATAATACACTATTATCCAAAATAAATTTGAATAATCGGTAGTATTAAGCTTTACCCAGGATTTGAACCCGTGACTTATACCTTGCACCAAACTCAGCCACAAGACCAAGCTACGAATCAAAGAACAACTAATATTTACAACAATTCACAGTTTAATTTTCGTAGAATTACAAAGCTTTACAATTGAACTTACCTATGCAAATTCAGGAATTGTGAAAGATAACATTTCTGATTAACTTATGTCACTCTTTATAATTAATTATCGTAAATCCACTGGAACTGAGTTACTACTATGTACTCTGACGCAACGAGTGATACGAGTCAGCTTGTTATTGTTATTATGGCGTAAACTAATAACATTACGTGCGATTACATTATTAATTTCACTGAACCACCAGTTATTGCTCATGATTTAATTGAAATATGTTTATATTTAAATAGTAATGACTCATTTTCCGACTGAATAAGATTGATAATGAATAACAAGTTAGGGAACGTATGACTAACTTATTTATGTAAATAAAATAACGCTATCTACAAAGGACTAAATAATATAATATATATAATATTCCCGTATCGATAACTAATGAATAATTATATTTAAAAAAAATGTTCATTAAAAGACAGTTATAATCTTTGTTTTAGAAAAGAAGATATTATTTTGAAAATATACGTGTTCGTTTACTTTACGAAATGAGGGATATAAAATATAAGCGACACAAGTTTCATTTTAATTAATATTTATTGCAATAATTTATTTACACTTATCAAAACATTCTATATTCTAAAAAAATTTAGGCAGAATTATACAAAAATAGGTATTGATAAAATTTTGGTATTTATCACATTTAATACTTTTCGAAGCTCAAAATAATAACAGACAAGCTTCTAAACAAACATCGTTAATGAGATCAGTTTTATTCACAATCGTACATAATAATGTACGTCAATGTGAAGTAATTCATTACTACATATTAACTGCACAGCTGTTACAATCATACTTCACACATATTACTCCGTCAAGTACAATTGCTTTGGTAACTTAGCTTTCAATTCATCAGTAGAAATAAATTTCCTCATTTCACTGTCACTATTTTAACCGAACATGAACATTAAATCCCATAGCAACTATAACAGTACTAGATTAAACGTGCGCGCGCAAGCGCGCGTCCTAACGTTGGTATAGAATTATATATATTTTCATACTTATGATATATTTGACCAATCACGTTGTGAATATAGTTTGCTTACATATATATATATATTTTCATATTTTTCATCTAAATTATAAGAGTGGATACAATTGTTATGTAATCTGTCTATTTTGTTATCTTTACTCAGAAAAAGAAATAATATATTTTTCGATCATTTTTACGTTTAATACGGAACTATCCAACTATGATGTATGAAGATATATAGATTTTTCATAGAAAAAAGATCAAATACTTTCAATGTGCATATTGTTGTGAAAAAACGAAAAATTTCTCATTTGAATTATGTTAATGACCAATATTCGGTTGATAAAATATCATCTTGGAATTGATTCTTGATCCACGTGTCAAAGTTTGCCTTTAGATTGATTGAGATATGATATATGATAGGGTAAATGACAAAAAAAAAGAAGATAATTTTAGGTAACAATCTATTTATTCGATTGACTTAAAGATAACAATCTTAATTTTAACACACAAAATCTTAATAGTCACTTAATAGAGTAAATTCTGACTGGTATTTATATATATATATATATATATATATATATATATATATATATATATATATGTCGTGTTATCCATATACTACGAACATCATCTTTAGTGGTTACTCATCTTGTGGGCGTTATGAGGGCTCAAATAATAAAGTATTCAGTGCTCAATACACAATTTAATCAGGGAAGTCACAATGTTATAAACTTGAAACGGTAATTCTAATGATTTAGAGCTAGCGGGTTCACAGTCACCGATCATCGACTTCCAACTACAATATCAAACATAACTCTCTATACCATGATCAACCAACGTTACTAAGCCGCGTATCTGCTAAGAATGTCGTGATGGCGTCTCGACCCCGCTCGAGACTAAATCTCTGCTCTAAAATCAAAATAACTTTAAAAGTAAATTAAAGAACATAGTGACTTTAAACAATAACAAGGTTTCATAACAGAAAAAGGTAACTAAATCCTCCTCCGTCTCGGCCGTCCTGCTGTTCACACGCCCTCGGGTGATCTTGTGGGGCACTCACCACCGCTATTTCTTCTACCACGGCCGTCCTGCTGTTCACGCGCCCTCGTGTGATATTGAAAATCGACCTATAGAAAAAGTAACATTAGCTCGGCTATTCCTGACCAAATAACTGACCATGGTGGCCAAACTTACTAAAACTAGCCATCGGTGCAGTAGATATTTAGTGCAAAAGTGTACGCTCAGACAGACACAGACAAATTCCAATGTGCCTAACACAGTGAGTATTGGGCAAATTTTTGCTTTATATGTTAACAATATACAGCGATTCACATCATTCATTCTCCCTAACTAGTTTTCTTTAAGACAAATTTGTTAATACTGAATCTTTAAAATGACTAAAACCTAAAAAATTATACACACGAAGTTATCATTGAGTACAATTTACAGAAGTTTCTCGTATGTCAATCAAGTCGGTGCCACACAGGCCAGTCGATGCCACACAGGCCAGTCGGTGCCACACAGGCCAGTCGGTGCCTCACAGGCTACTACTCCGGCGACTCTCGCCACTAAAACTACATTTGCCACACAGGCTTGTCAATGTTATATAAGCTCGTCAATTCAGTCACCCTAGCTTGTGCTACGTAGGTTCATTAGTGTTAAGCTGCTAAATATTATTGGAAATAACTAAAATTACAACCGTCTTTAACAGTACATTCGGAAATCACTTGCCTCACATACCTAAGCAAAATGGAAACGTCTCACCATATAACATTCATATTAGATTAAATAAAACAGTCCACAGATATCCATTTTTTGGCATAGCCCAAGCATCTCCAGACACCGTCTTCTTTTAGGGCATTGTATACGTCTCATGTGGTCTGGCTTAGCGTGATTTATTTATCTGGCTAAAGAAATCGTCCTTTCTACGCTAAATACATATTTTGAACACTTGAAACAAAGCACCTGAAAATTCATATTATTTATTATTGTGCCACAGTTGATATTACCATTGGCCCGATCTAATTATGTTTAATCTTTGGACCAAATAAGGACATATGAAATCGGTATTATAATCAAAGATTTCTATCTTAGCCTGCGTATGAGAATGTCTTCGGAGTGTACACAAACATTAGTTTTACGGTGTATAACCATTAATACAGTCAACTATTTCTCATATTTCACTTGATGAACTGCAAAAAAAATTTGTTAGATAAAAATATCACTTTTATACGAGGTGGTATAAAAAATTATAGTATAATCAGAGATCATGTTATTTTCCCAATATATTTTGCAAATATCATCTTTTAATGTTCCGACGGGAAATACTAAGCCTTTTAGTTAAATTTTATTTTATCAAAAATATCAACTCAATATTTTCACTTTAAAAATCCTGAAATAAAGCAAATATAAAGCAAACAATTACAATACAAAACATTTTTGACACTTTAAAATTCTGACATGAATATATTTTATTTCATCACTAGAAGAAGGTCCTTATAAGCATCGAACAAAAACATTTCAAAAATAATTCTCGTAATTTATCGATTAAATAAATTAATTTCATATATCATCCTGAAATAAACAAATTTTCCATTTAATTTTTCCATACATATTGTGTTCAAAAATATTTCTGCGATAATATCAAGAAAATCAAATCCAGCTAGCAACAAATCTTTGTCGACGTCATGTCATTTCATAAAAATTAAATTGAGACATCTATGATTATTTTAATCTTTTGAGCATCTTGCATATCATATATCATGATAATTCATCATTATCAAAGTAAAAGTAAATCTTCTGTAAAACAACCCGCATATACATCGCCATTTTGTGCGTCATTTTTAACATTGGACATCGCATTTCGTTTCAAAGTCTGAAAAATTTTTTGCAGCAAAATTTTCAAATGGCCGCTGTCATCTATCTTTGCCCTGTTCTTCGGGTATCATCCACTTCTGATGTCGTGTTATCCATATACTACGAACATCATCTTTAGTGGTTACTCATCTTGTGGGCGTTATGAGGGCTCAAATAATAAAGTATTCAGTGCTCAATACACAATTTAATCAGGGAAGTCACAATGTTATAAACTTGAAACGGTAATTCTAATGATTTAGAGCTAGCGGGTTCACAGTCACCGATCATCGACTTCCAACTACAATATCAAACATAACTCTCTATACCATGATCAACCAACGTTACTAAGCCGCGTATCTGCTAAGAATGTCGTGATGGCGTCTCGACCCCGCTCGAGACTAAATCTCTGCTCTAAAATCAAAATAACTTTAAAAGTAAATTAAAGAACATAGTGACTTTAAACAATAACAAGGTTTCATAACAGAAAAAGGTAACTAAATCCTCCTCCGTCTTATATATATATATATATATACTTATATATATATATATATATATATATATATACATATATATAATCTTCCCCTCTGATAACTAATGAATAAAGATATTTAAAAAAAAAACACAAAGAGAGAGACATTGATTTACAAAAATCTTGACACAAGTTTCTTCTTACTTGATCTTGCAAAAGTCACTAGCAGCTCAAAAAAGTGTCTTATTGGGTTTAAAGAATGAAGAATAAAACCAATTATCATTATAATCTTAAATAATATTTATTAAGTAACTTAGCATAATCTAACAATTCTACATTAGATTGGAATGACTTGATAACAATTATAACTATCTAAAAATATAATTATACAAAATAACCGGTTAGGTTAGCCGAGTGGTCTAAAGCGCATGGCCTATAGAGCACTCGGACTGGCCAGGCGTGGGTTCAAATCCCAAGCTGGTTTTAGAAACCATCTTGGTTGATATTCGACCCTTGATATTATAAGCCTGCACTAATAATACAAGACCTAAAACAATCATCTATTGTTAGTCTCGGATCCATTTTGCCAAACTAACTTCACTCGTTCTTTGAATTTACATTCAGTTAAAAGATCTTGAGTTTTGGCACACTTCAAAAATCTCTGTAACGTTGATTCTTTCATTCGAAGTTTGATTTGAAGATCAACCTCCATAACCCTAGATCATACGGTTTTGACGTTTCAATACATAGACGACATCCATGGCGGTGACAGTCTTACGTTTAGCGTGTTCGGTATAGTTGACAGCATCACGGATAATGTTCTCGAGGAAGACCTTCAAAACATCACGAATCTCTTCTAAGACTAATCCAGAGATACGCTTGTCTCCATCACGACGAGCCAGACGACGGATAGCTGGCTTGGTGATTCTTTGGATGTTATCTCGAAGAACTTTGCGATAACGCTTGGTGCCCGCTATTCCCAATCCTTTCGCTCCTTTGCCCAATCCTTTTCCTGCTTTGGCCGATCCTTTCACTTCTTTAGCACCTTTAGGATGATCAGCCATGATGATTGTGTTGTTGATGGCAGTGAAGCTACTTCAAGATTTGTTCGTCGATGACGTACTGGTTTATCTTTGCCAAGAACTAACTGTTGAAGACTCACGAGGAGCAAAAACGTTAGTTTCGGAATTTATACTGGTCCAGAACCTATGACGGGGGAAATGAGTTTACTTAAGTTTAAATATAGATTTGGAACAATAAAATATTATTATTTTATTGTTTTATCACAAATGGAATTTTCCAGGGTTATTTGTTTCGACTCATAACCTTATAAGGACATGTTTATGAGGATGACTCGTATATTTATTTAATGAGGTTGATAATGGGTTAACAGTCACATGGCGTTCTATTTTTTCCTGTTGTCAAGAGAGAAGCGCCATCTACACAGTAGCGTCACTAACTACTAATACTTGAGTGACGTCAGAACTGATGATTGCATAATGCATACGGTTCTCACCTACTGACGCATAGTTACCTGCAACTTCAAATTTTTGTGTCAGATGCTAAAGTCGGTGGATTCAGTGCTCTTTTAGATTTTGTTCACCATTTTCGTTCAGATCTTGAAAAGCTATACAATCAGAACTCAATACAAATTAAATACACATTCAAAAACTCTTTGGTTATCAATTTATTCAGTCATACAATTCATTCAAAAATTATAACTGCTTTGAGATTATAATCTAACTAAAAGTCAACATTTTACTGACAGTTTTTATCTTCCGCTCGATTAAACGGTATGACACAGTATGTACAGTACATATTTAAAACATTAAACCTTATTTATGATAGTATTTAAAGTATCAAATATATTTTTTTGCAGAACTGATTCTCAATGAATCATGATATTGATTTTCTTAATGTTTTAGTATGAGGTAAAGGCACATAGCTCCTTAAAAGTTCGTACGCTTTAGGAGAGTAAAAATGTAACATAAATGCAAAAGCTTTAACCTCATCTGAATAACGTGTACCTTGAGGATGATTAGGTGGATTAGATTTCTTAAATAATTTACAAAGGTCGGAAAAATTCCCCTTAATAATATTTTCAATATCCGACTGAGATGTATACTTCTTTACAACAGCTAACAATGATTTCATGTGATCAATATATTTATTTTGTCTTTTAAGTTTTTGTTCTAATACTTTTTTTCTTTTCAACAAATTTTTTTCGTTATTACTTTTAATTTTTACTTGTGTGCTTATCGCACAATATTGTTTATTGTGTAAACGTCTTTTACAAGGAGTATTCTTATCATCAACCTGAAATAAAGAATATTATTATTCATATTTATAATATACATTTAATTAGTTACTAAAAAAATAACAGCCTGCCATTTAATCAAGTTTTGAAATATATGGACATGGTGTATATTTTAATAAAAGAATAAAAAGTTGGCCATCACGGGACGCACGGCAGATGTGAAACATATATGTTATAGAATACTATTTAATAAAATCCAGAAACAACATATGGAGTAAAATAAAGAAACATTATGCCGCTCAGGCGCTCACACAGAGAAGCGACAAATGTATAGTAATCATTTGCGCGCGCACACACAATGGAGTCGAGAGTGATGGCGTAGAACAGTGTCACGCCACTATTAATTATTATTATTTCTATCTTGACGACACGTTTGGCTCAGTTTGTAGTGATCCTACTTGCTGTGCCAGCAGTAGCGGGTCGAGTCCCGCTGGGGGCATTCATTTGTGTAATGACGAATGTTTGTACTCCAGTCATGGGTGTTTATATTTATAATAAGTATGTATTTAAAGTTATATATGTGTAGTGTATCAATTATCGGGCATCCATAACACAAGGCTCGCAGCTTATCATGGAACTAGATGGCGCTGTGTGTTAATGTCCCAACATATTTATATTTATTTATTTATTTATCATACATATATTTTGTACAAATTATTATATTTTTCTATTTGTGCATACTGTGTTTATTGTAAGTAATGACTTCATCTTATCTTAATTCTACTTCTGTGGTAGATATGTAAATGATTACCTGATTGTGGGATGAATGTACACCACCAGAGCTAGTACTAGGTTCAACTAAATCCACATCAGGTAAAATCTCATTATCATGTAATGGCATTGATATTTCACTGTATGTCTGAAAATTGAAGTAAATTAGAAAACACTTTTGTATTTGGTATTTGGTAATTATTTTAGCGATAAAAATACTTGCTTGTTCTATAATATTTCTATTACATTCTTTGTCTTCTTTGGTGTGTGCTGTCAAAGCATTGTAAAGCATTGAATATTCATTACTATTTTCATTCTGTAAATGTAAAATATATTTTATAGCATATACAGTGTAAACTCTTTATAGCGAAACTCAAGGGACTGAGCATTTTTTGTCGTTATAGAGAGTTATCGTTATATGGAGCGAACAAAAAAAAACCAAATTAACAAGAATTTTTAATACAAGAATTTTTAATTGTATGTATGTCTTAGATAATAAATGCTTATACATATAAATTATTGTTTACACATATAGTCTGATAATTTCGTCTGACGTTTTTTGCTATGCCAGTACTTGTTTTGTATTATTTTATGTATTCTATTCATATCTAGATATGTGGTGGAATCGTCTTGATTAAACAACAAAAAATTTTCTATCAACTTAGCGGCATCTAGGGCTTGTTGAATTGTTGGTGGTGATTCGGCTTTGTCCACTTGATCGTCTTCTTCATCTTGATTATCGGGTGTTTCCTGACTTTTTGACACTAAATCAACAATTTGTTCATCTGTAAGTGTACCAGTTGTGGCTACATCCTCATCTATATTTTCGTACGATTGTAGATCTTCGTTAAAATTGTTTGGTATGTTGAACTGGCTTATCCATTCACTCAGTGGTAGATTGTCTTCACTGTTAAATTGGTTCATTTCTTGGCTACTACATAATCCAGCATGTCGAAAAGAATGTTGGATAGTGGCCGCTGTTACCTCTTGCCAGGCTTTTGATATGAAGTTCACTGCTTGTAGCATGTTGATCGAGACCTTGCCGTCAGTTTTTATCATATCCATCAACATTTTCCGTCTATAGTGGCCCTTTAGGGATTTAATTACACTCTGATCCATTGGTTGTAAAATACTTGTTGTATTAGCTGGGAAAAATGCTAACTCTATGTTTCGAAGATTAGACATGATTGGGTGAGCAGGACAATTGTCTACTAGAAGCAAGATTTTCCGTGATTTTAATTCAGCATCCCATTTTCTCACTTCCTCTTCAAAAATCTGCGATGTCATCCAAGCTGACTTGTTTGCTTTGTACGTAACTGGCAACTGTTTTATGTTCTTGAAACACCGAGGGCTTTTCGATTTGCCTATAACTAAAAGCTTTCTTTTTTCTGTGCCACTCATATTGGCAGCCACTAGAACTGTAATGCGCTCTTTAGACAGTTTTCCTCCAACACATTTTTCCCCTTTGAATTTTAAAGTTTTGTCGGGAGTCAACTTGAAAAAAAGGCCAGTTTCATCTGCATTAAAAATGTCTTCTGGTGAGTATTTCATCTTTAAATTAGGCCACACTGTACTAATCCAATTGTTAGTCACATTCATATCGACATCCCGCGCCTCTCCGTTCATTTTACCGTACGTAATTTGATGACAGTGCTTAAATTTTCCGAGCCAACCTTCAGATGCTTTAAAGTCAATTATGCCAAGTTGGTTGGCAAACTTTTCAGTCTTAGCTTTTACAATTGGCCCCGAGATGGGTACATTATTCTGGCGCTGATTGTTAAACCACGACAACATTGCCTGATCTAAGTCTTCGAATTTTGGCTTTCTTAATTTTTTAGACAAGTTTCCTTCCAGTGCCGCCTGTAGAATTGTTTTTTGGTTTTTCCAAATGGTAGCAACAGTGGATTGACTTAGTTCAAAACGCCTTTCAACGTCACTTTTCTTTTCTCCCTTTTCAATCGCATGTATCACACAAACTTTTTCGTCAACACTAATCGCTTTCCGTTTACTGGCCATGTTAACAGTTTCAAAGTAGGTTTACGACTGATAATACAATAGGTACCCAGTATGCTTGGTCGAAGACCATCACTTCCGAGAAAACAATGCGTCATACTGCACGTGTACAAGGCAATTAAGGATAACAAAAGCTAGACCGACCTTGGATGTTTCGGAGCTTCAAAGTCTTTTGTTACCTCATAACATAACATAAACAATAATACGGATAATAAATATTTACTGTCTAAAAATATGAACACATTTCTTCTTATAAAGGATAACGTTATAAAGAGTTTACACTGTATTACTATTTGACAATTAATTTGTTTAAATACATATAATCATTACAAGCTTTTTGTTTATATTACAAATTGTTACATTTACTTCTGTCCACTTCAAAATTGGTAATAACAATGTAATATAACATCATGTTTAGGTTTATTGCAATAAATATGTTTACGTCCAATATTTATTTCAGTGAAAAATATCTGAATAGATTTCATTAATAAGCATTCTATTATTTGTATATCAAAACTTTATTATTTCTATACTTACCATTCTAGAAGTTGGTTTGTAGTAATTATGATCATTACAGTCTTCTAAATCAACTTCTTCCTTTTTTTTATGCTTAGCTGCTGACGGACCATGTTGTTCATTACTGTAATTTTAGAATGTATTTTTTTGACTTTTTTTCATAACTTTTTTAATTTTGATAACACTTTTAGGGTGTCATGAAGTCTGAAAGTAGAACAAGAGTACAAATATTTTTAATTTATAATTATTCTTTGAATTGCTGCAACAAGTGTTGTACACATTAGTCAAAAAAAAATTAAGTTACAAATTATGTTTTGTGATGTTTATTATGTAACTTAAACTTCGACTTGCGCCTATAAACGAGTTAAATCTCGACATTCGACAAACTGTTTGTTTACTGTTTACATTAGTTTTTGATGAGAAACGTAAACTAACTCACTTTTTACTAATTACGGGTACATTGCCTATTCGTGCTGGGACTCTTAAATTACATTTCGTAATTTTCTTCATAATCGTTTCAGGCGGCACTGACATTTGCAATAATTATATATAGTTTTAAGCTAAAAATTAAGTTATTTCCTAGGATACGAGAAGTTTTAAAAACAAGTATGTATTATCAACAAACACTGCTGTCAGTCAGCCGTCGTGCTGTCACTTGTCATTTTTATTTGTCATCCATTGTAGTCTCTGTCAGTGACAAAAACAAAAATGATACATAAACCACTACAATACACAGATAATAAATTCTATAGAAGATTTAGTATGGCCTGAAGAATAAAGCATTCTTTCTCAGATAGGGCTTAGCCAATAAATTAGTTTAATTTATATTCTATTACGATAAATCTCCAGAAACTCTCATATAATTTTCTCTGATACCTAGGAATACTTAGTTTTTGAAAAAATAGAAAAAAAAACTGAATAGTAGACCAATTGGAATCAGTTTATTTTAATGCGATTTTTTTTTATTGAAACCTGAACTTTTATGATTTTAAAATGTTAGCAGGTATATAAGAAATAGAAATTCGTAAAGTGCCCCACATGCCCAGCTACCTCCGAGAAATGGGACGTAAAGCATTGAAAAATAGTTTTTTTCAATTTCCGGCTTACTGTGAAGTTCTATCGAAAAAGGTTTTCCCCAAAAGTTGTAGGTCTAGTAAAAATCTACAACTTTTACAAATAACACTTTTTACAATAACCTCAAAGTTTTCGAGATATTTGCAAAAAACTCGGGTTTTAACTATTTCTTGGTTTTTTATTTTTTATTTCTGGATTAATCTTTAGATTTCTATGAAACTAAGGGAATATAATCTTCGAAATACATATAATAAATTAAAAAAATAAATAAAATTGCAATGTATAGCCATTTCCGAGAAAAGTATGTTTTATGGTCTCGAGAGGCTGAAAATCACCCCCAACTTCAAGTGGGCGTTTACATTTAAAAAAAAAATCGTTTAATTTTCAGATAGGGCTTATTCTTTTCGTCTTGAACTCTACTTTTTGAAAATATAAAAACATTGTATGGTCATCTTGTAAAAACACCCTTAAAAATTTAAAAAACTGGAGAAATCGATAATTTTTACTTTGTAAACTAAATTTTTTTCAATTATCATTGAAGAAGTGCACTTTCTTCTTCTTCTTCTCCCTACCCATTTCCCAATCACTTGGGGTCAGCGCAGTACATCTTCTGTACCTACTGCTGATAGGATTTGGCAAATTTGTTTTACGACCGGCCGCCTGTCTGACGTCAACCCTCATTGGTAATGCTATTGTCTCTCTTTGTCTAAATGGTGTCGCGGAAGTCTTATAATGTGAAGAAGAAATGCACTTTATTTACCAAATTTTTTAATTTTTTTATAAACCCAATACACTAATGTATTTTCCAGGAAAAAACGAATAAAATGGTGTCCTTAAGTTTTTAATTTGATGCTTATTATTTATACATTATTGCCGTAAACATTACAACTTTTCAATTTGATTAGTCGTGAAAAAATAATGGAAGTTGGAATTCACGTAAAATACCCAGCGATTTTGTATTTTGTTGCCGTAGAATCTATTTGTTAAAAATTTTTCGAATTTATCGATATTTTATTAGTTTTTGATCGATTTTAAAGTTAATTTTATTGATGTTTTTGAAAAAATTGATTTTAAGGTTTTTACAGAAAGAAATGAAATTCATTTATAGTCTAATTTTGTTTATTCATTAGTTAAAAATATATTTAAAAAAATGAGTTGATATTTATAAAATTAAATCATAGTTTTAATGCCTTTGTGGGTAGGAAATTGAGTTTAGAGGATGATTGGCCCCTTGGATCGGTCTGTCTTCTTGTAAAAGATTTTAAAATAGTTGTCTGGCGAACATATATAAAAATGAAGTATCAGAGTTTACGTTAAGTTAAGTACCTAATTATTTTGGGACCTTTAAAGCGTCTGCCAAGAACCACCAATACCAATTTTTAACGATATTTGAAAATAAAATTTGTGAAAATTAGCTTGGAGAATGTACGTGGGGTAAGTAATGTTTTGAGGTACCTTGATTACCTGATACCTGGAAGTTGGCCGTCTCACAGAGTTAACAGGTAGGTATGCGATCTTAGTACATACTAAAACTACTCAATCGTCCACATTTCGTTCGCTAGAAAATACGTGACGTCTGGTGGCCCTGGCATCTTGGACTATAATATATCAGGCACACCACTAAATTCTTTTGTTCAGTATCTAGTTTCTTGGAGTGCCGTTTGGGGCCTTTGGGTACAATTTGCTTCGTCGATGTCGCGAAGGAAATAGTAGTCTGTGTATTACTCAAAGTTGTATTTCATCTGTTAAATTTCATCCAAATCTGTCCAGCCGTTTTTGTGTGAAGTAACACAAACATTCACATACAAACTTTCGCAGTTATAACAGAAAGAAGAACAAGAAAATTTGTGGGTATGGATGTTTGTTACTCTTTCACGCCAGAACGGCTAAACGGATCTGGATGTAATTTGGCACAGAGATAGATTATAGTCTGTGTGTCTGATAGTGGAATAACACATAGGCTATTTTTTATCGCGGAAAAATGTACGGTTCCCGTGGGATAGGTTTGTTTTCGTTTTCCTAGAGACGAACCCGATGGAAGCGAGGGTGAGCCGCTAGTATAAAGCAATATTTTAATTACTAACTAAATCTCATTGTTACTCATCTCTTTAAAGTGTCAGCTCTAGGTAAGGCTACATAACTTCTTAAAAAGTCATATGCTTTAGGAGAATAAAAGTGAACCGTCAGTGCAAAGTCTTTAACCTCATTGCAATATCGTGGACTTTGGGGATTTGACTTAGTAAATAATTTACTGAGTTCAGCAAAATTTCCTGTAATAATATTTTCTATTTCCGACCGGGTCGTATACTCCTTTACGGCGCCTAATAAAGATTTCATATGAGCAATGTACTTTTTTTGTTTTTTAATTTTTTCATCTAACATTTTGTTGTGTTTCTGTAACATTTTTTCTCGGTTACTTGTAAGCTTTACTTGTATGCCTTTTTCTTTACATACACGACGTGTGTTTTCGTCAGCTACCTAAAAAGATAAATTATGATAAATATTTAAACAGTAATTGAATTTATATGTACTCTATAATATTTTATATTTACGCGAATATTTGACATTTTAAATAAAACTATCTTTTCTAAAAAATAAGTGTTATTCATAGTCTTCACTAGCGTCTTACCATCCTTAGCTCGGGCGCGTCCCTAGGTGCCTTTTGGCAAATTTATTACTAACAGTAGTGTTGCGGATAAGCCCTGACGACAAATCTAGATTGCCACGTGATATAAACGACGAGCCCGACGGAAAATCTAGTCTGTCACGATACGAACACGACATACGAACGACTCTACCCCTGACTAGTAAAAACCTAGCTAAGTCCCGCCTCTTTTTGCTTTTATTGCGTTTAACGTGTAAATTTAGCCACACCCCTCTTATTGTGTAAATTCATTAATTAGCATAATTATTAGATAGGTATTAATATTTGCTCATTGAATAGTGTATACACTGAGATTGTAATAAGTTAAATAAAGATAAGGGATTTTGTATTGTATTCATTCAGTCCTCAGGTAGCTCTCGATTAGGTAACAAAGGAAAATAAAATAAGTCAGCATGAAAGTATTTTTTAATTAGTGCCAAAAATACAGTCCACCACAAGTAGCCTGTATTAATCCTGGTCATTGTCTATCTGGGTAATGGGTATTACATAAAAACCCGTTTAGAACTTTCACTTCAGGAGGTAATAAGGACACACACAACACACAAATTTACATTACAAGTATGATTGGTCATAGGCCATGTGGCGGTCATGAAATATGATTTGAAGTTTGACATTGTAAAGTGATATTGCCTTTTTGACTTCGATTATTCTAAGTGCGAGGATATAGCTGGAAACAGGAAAGAGTCAGGAAAAATCACATAATAATGTAACACATTAATAATGTATGGAAATCTACCTGATTTGTTGACATTTATGATTATTGCTCCACTCTCTTGGGCAGTAGACAGTAGCATAATGATATTATTATAGCCTATAGCCTTCCAGAATAGACAGGCTATGTAATGCAAATAGAATTTTTCCAATCAGATTAGCAGCTCCTGAGATTAGCAAATTCAAACAAACTCTGCCTCTTTATAATATTAGTATATATAAATAAATGAAACATTGATGATGTTTTACTTATTAAACATAGAAACTATATTACCTGAATAAGAGAAGATAGTGTACTGGGGCAATTAATAATTGGTACTACTGAATTCATATCTCTTATAATGTCCTTATCATGTAGGTATTTTCGGCGATTTGTCTGAAAATTGCAATTGTTTTAAGATTTTCAGTGTAAAATGAAAAGCGAGTAAATTCGATCAGAACAAACATAGACAATTTATACATATTTATAAATGGGTTTATAAAAGAATGCTTTAAGGAAAATTATAAGCCTAGATAGACTGAGGAGGGATATTTATGCACAAGTGATTCAGGGCATCAAGAGCCATTATAATTAAATAATACTTATAAAAACAAAATTGACTATATTCACAAATGACAATAGTCAATACTTACACATTCTTCATTATTGTCATTTGCTTCATATAGCTCTTTATTGGAATGAGATGTTGTAGTAGAAAGTGTTAAGAAGATACATCCATTTTCATTCTCAACCTATAAAATCATATTAAAAATAGGATTGTCATTTTAAAATTAAATTCTTCTTCAAATAATAATGATAATTTTATTAAGTGGTTTATGCTTAGCAGTGCTAATGTTTAGTGGTTATTTATTAGGTATTGTAATACTATACATATTATTTTATATTGTGATAAATTATCTAGAAGTGGAATTTTAATGCTTGGTGATAAAAGTAGCATTAAACTCTAAGCCATATATTATAGATTTAATTAACTATTTTTTTTAAATGGATGAATCATGATTATAATTGACATTACAGTATTATTAATAATAACATAATTTACATAATATATCATAGTATTATTACCAAAATATAGGCATCTATATGATTCCACTTACTGGTGATGATGTGGGTAAATTTTCTTCAAAGAATGGAATTGCTGTATGAGTCAAGGTCTTTCCAGTTTCATAACAGTTATAATCTGTTGGCTTAAAGTGTAAACTACATATTTTAGCACTTTCATAAAATTGTTTTTTTATGGGCACAATTGACAACCACTTCTCTCTTCTTTTAATATTTTTCGGAAATCTATAAAATGAATTTACCAATTAAACCAATAGTAGGGGCCTATCTAAAAGTATTAAACAAATACTTCTCAAAAGGTAGTTAGTTTAAAATAAATCAATAAAAATATTTTCATAGCTATTGCTTGCAACAATAACCGAACAATACGAATTATGTGCTTTTAAGTGCAATCCTGGAAGTGTAAATTTTAATTGAACTTGTTATACATGTAGTAGGTATTGATGAATTATATACTTACCTCTTTGAAATTAGAATTAGGGTACGTACGGTGAATAATATGAGAAGTAGATAAACTAAACAAACACAGTTAAAAAATAAAAATTATGTAAACACTTACAAGTGAAATTTTAGATCGCATCCAGGATACCATTCACTTCTACAACCACGAACTATACAGCTGTGTACCATTTTACTATTTTCATTGCCGAGAATTTCTAGGGCAAATCCTAAGATTTCAAGCCACGAAAAACTTACAGTTTCAAGTTTGTAATTTTACAGAATTTGTTTATTATTGTGAAATGTGAACAGTCAATTGTCAAACTATTGACCATGGTCGATGGATGACAAATATTGACTTCTAAAATTTGTTGCCATAGAATAGAATAATGAAATTGAATAAAATTGGTTTTATTTTTAAATGTTGGAATAAAAGAACAGAGACTACTAGCACCTACATAAGGTGCTAGTTTTAAAGGAAAATAGGTATATTTTTTATTTATTTTTTGCAGATATCATAAAAATATACATAATATGAAAGTATTAAACGAAATATTTTTCTTATCTGTGACCTGCGTTGACAATCGAAACTGTTGTTGCTTAGCAACGAACGAGAACGACTTAAACAACTTGTAAAAGAAAATATTTTTATAAAGATAGAATTTCAATGAATATACTAATAGTCGATTAGAATTATAGGTTACCAAAAAACTATGGCTGAATCTGTTGCGAGTCAGTCCAATAAAGAAGTAATGTCTAATGATAATAGTGTAAAAGAATTTTTATATCATGAAAACAATTGTAAAGCTTACAAAGATAGCGATGAAGAAATTAAAATGATATTCAGTGAGATCAAAAAGCTCTCTGATTGCAAAAATAAAGATACTGAAATAGGTGAAGATGTTGAAGACGTGGAACTAATTTTAAAAAGAGCAGAAGATATTGCTCATGAGACTGAAACTTTACTAAAAAGTAGCCCCATCGCAGCTGTTACGAAAAGTGTTCGGCCTAGTTTCATTGATTCAGGGAATATTCCACAAATAAAAGTTACTCAGGCTAATGATAATATAACCAATAGTGATTATAATACTCAGGTTTCAGGAAAGGTAAGTTAAAAATAAAGTTTTTAGTTATATAATAGGTTTTATTAAGTAAAATATTTTTAATACATGAATCATTCATGATATCACATTCTACATTAAAATAAATAAATAATTACATAAAAGATAAATTACTGCTTAGTAACTTGAGCTGCAAGTACTCTCAGTCCAGCAAGTGATTCTCTTGCTACAGGCTCAATATATGATGTTGGTAAAACAAATCCATAGCGACCAGTGTCACTTAATTCAATAGTGTATGTATATTTTATTCCTTGAGCTTTGGCCCAGTCATCAGAACCCCCTGCTGCGGGGTATAGAAGCCCACTTGATGAGCCCACTGCATATTTAGAACCACCTGTTTTCTCTATGGCCTGTAAAATATTGTGACAAAATATAAACTAACTGCACCTATATTAGAATAATATTTTTTTTATGAGTTTTTTGCAAGTATGCACTAAATAATTAATATTGTTTTCCTTTCATTTTTTGAAATATTGAAATGTATCAAGATTGAACATATAAGTATGTTCATATTCTTGTAATAGAGTAATTTATAGCTTTCTTATTTTTAAATACAAATACTCTTACAACACTATTAAGTTAATTAAGTTAGCCATGCAGTATCTACTATATTAAGCACAATCTTTGGCACTGTTTGATTAAGTGGTTACTTACTGAAGCAATGCTATTCCCTAAAAGTTCTAATTCCTTGTGATCAGGTGGTACTGCGTTGTCATAGCCCCATGGGTAGAGCAGATACTGCCCATAGCTATGATAAGTTAAATAAGCTGTGAAATTGGAGGCACTGCTCTTGATGAATTCCTGTAAACATTTTTTTAGTATATAAAAAATATTAATAGGGTCCAAATTCGATGACAGAACGTCTTTTTTAATAATTAACTTATATTTTATTCTGAACATAAGAATAATAATAATAACACTTTTTAGAATCACTGACTCTTTATCAATCTTTTTGCACTGCACACTTGAGGAATGGCTGGATAGTTTTTAATGAGACTATGTATTTTTGGATTTTCAATGAAAATATAATAAAGTCTAAAGAGGTTCAAACTATTTAAGGTATTTCTATGAAAGCTAGCATTAGCAAGCCACCACCAGTTTATTCAAAGTAACAGCAACAACAAGAATTCAAATATAAATTAATAAGTAGGTTAAAATCAACTTCCATGATTTGATTATGTAGTTAAAAATTAAAGTAATAAAATCTTAAAACACTTCTAATTGGATAATTATTACAAGAAAAAAATGGTACTTAAAAAATAAGGACCTACTATTGAAAAAGTTCAATTAATATCAATGATCATTCAATATTAATATCATGTATTTACAAGCTTCATTAATTTGATATAGGTAGATACAAAATATCGCTTTACAATAAACTATCGATCTTTATAGGTACTCTAAAAGTTATATTTTTATCTGAGGTATATTCTATAGTTTTACTTTTATACTGCAGTAAATAATAATCGTTTTTTTTTGGTTATATGCAAAAATATAACAAAAAATGATGATATGTACAGTGTTTTGTAAGTGAACTATTATTTGATTTAAAATGAACTAAACAATGGAGTGTCTTAAAAATAATACCCAATTTAATTTTATGATTCATATATGTATGTATATGAAGTGAAGAGATCGTTATCCACGTAATCTAAGTGAGGTTTTTATTATATTTATACAGAATATATGTATTCCGTAAATTATGAGGATTTTATTTTTTACTAAGTTATGGTTAAACTGATAAAAATAAGTAGGTACTTGTAGTAGAGTGATAGAGAGGTAGATAGTAGCAATTTAGGGGAGACAAAATTTCCGTGGTGCTGTAATTTAACTATAGATGACGATGAATCGACTCATATTATTCAATTTTCTTCTGCTTTTCTATCAGCTACTCTAGGGTGGATACTCTAAAAAGTGTATTGTGTATCTATTTGATTTGAATTTTGGTTATTTATTCCGATTGTTCACTCCAAGTAATATAGAAATTTAATTTATAATAAAATAAATTATAACAAATGTGTTGAGTAGGTATGTATAGTATTACGTCATTTAATAGTATTAGGTATTTGCGCTTTTACGCTCATACAAACATTTCACGTTATTCATTTCCTTTGCGTACGCGTAGGTTTTTGAAAAAAATCATTATTAAATACATAATTTTTGTATATGTATTGACAAATAACGGTCAATATTTGATTTTCTTAAGCTTTACTTTTAAAGATTAGAGAAAAATGGATTTTTTTTATCCAAACTATTATTATATTTATTATATCCATTCGGTCTGTGGTAACCACCACAAAACATAACACAAAAGGATATATTATGTAAATACCATTTCGTGCATTCACCCCAGACTTGTTATTTTAGGGTGGTTTAAACGGAATTATCCAATTTTTCAATAATTCATATTTCATTTCTTAATAGTAATAGGAAATTGAAGCCGTGTCGATATTTAAAATGATATTCTCGTTAGTTAGTTACTTACAGACACAGCTTTTGATTCTGGTTCAGAGAAAGCCCTGGAACCTCGATATATGTCACTGCAGGGGTTGCTAGAAGATCCTTTACCACCCCAACGATACCTATAAATATATTATACCTAATACATTTTGTTCTATAATTTATGAAATTTATTTTTATTTTAAGTTATGTATATAAAAAAAATCTTTATAAATTTTGAATATATAAATAAATAAATATGTTGGGATATTAACATCTAGTTCCATGGTAAGCTACGAGGCTTGTGTTTTGAATACCAGATAGTTGATACACTACACATAAATATAACTTTAAATACATACATATTATAAATATAAACACCCATGACTGGAGTATAAACATTCGTGCCTATCACACAAATGGATGCCCTTAGCGGGACTCGAACCCGCGACCGTTGGCATAGCAAGTAGGGTCACACAAACTGAGCCAAACGTATCGTCAAAGTCGTTCTAAGATGCTAAAATGCATTAAAAACATTTATTAATTTAATATGCCATGTATAATTCATACATTGATGTTAAAATGTTATCTTTTCATTGAGCATTCCTTATTCTAAATAAAACTTTCTTTTCGGTTTCTTCCAGGATTTATTTTGATTTTTGGTTCCCGACGTTTCGAATGCTTTACATCACATCATCATCACCAAGGTCACGGGAGAGACTGAACCATGATTTCTGTAAAGCATTAGAATTGTCGGGAACCAAAAATCTAAATAAATCTGCGAAAAAATCCAAAAAGGTAGTTTTAAAATGTCAAATATTCGTGTCTATATCTAAGACAGAATTATGAGCGTACTTACATACCTCCCTATAATGTACCTAAATGTAAGTAATTAAAAAACTTCTAATTTCTCACCCAAAGTTCCTGTTCAGATCAGTGCCGGTGCACTGTCTTGTAGGCTTTCTATTTTTTCTCCATAAGCGATCCTTAACGTGCGTGTATTCATAACCATCTGGATTGACTACCGGTAGGAAATACCTAATAAATGAAAAAATAAAAACAAATAAGGAATAATCATATGTGCGAAGTTTGCCGACTACATGAATAAAGAAAATGATAGCTAGACCGTATCGAAAACTATAGTTAATATTTATGAACATGAAATAATTGCATGAGAAAATATAGTTTTATACTATCCTATTAATATTAAAACAAGTGTTTGAACTCACCAGTCAATATTTTTCATATCATCAGATTCCTCGTCAAAATTCTCTGCGATTTGGTTGATGAAATAAGTAACGGTAGCTGGGCTAATCCATTCTCGCGCATGAATACCTCCATCTATAAATACAGCTTTGTTTGTTGGTTTCCCATCAGAAATTCGTAGCACCTAGAAATTAAAAAGTTTTTACCTTACTTTCTCTCACTTTCGCACAGCCTTTATTATTCTTCATTGCCTTTTCTGATAGTTGGCCGCTTATAGATAATATCATACAAAATAATTACATTTACGAGAATAACAATACATAAGACATTGTATGATAGACGTTAATTTAGAGAAAGTACTAACTTTAAGATCTCTTCCTTCGTAAGATTTTCCTATAGTGTTGACACTAATTATTTTGGGATAGGTCTTAGCGAGGTAGTCCATAAAACCGTGAATGTCCTCAAGTCTGTGGTATTGTTTCCAAGTCATACGATGGCCTGATGAAAAAAAAACATAAGACAATGTCGAATATCAAGTTTATTATTAGCACAACATTTCTATTTGCAACTTTTACAAATATATACGCAGGTACATACGAGTACTGTCAAGTTATTACGGAAATGCGGACATGAGAAAGAAAAAAATAATTGAAAATTTAGTGACTTAGTTAAGTAACAAATAATTTGTAAAGAATAATTTTATTACATCAAGAGAGCCAACTTTATAAATATAAGGTTGGTCCAATTTTTGTTAAAGCTCCATTTATTTTAGGTAAAGCCGCGGATAAAAAGTTAGTTACGAACGAGTATCACACAAATCTTTCTACAAAATTATACATGCGATAAATCCTCTACCAATATTCACGTGAAGTTATTCAACACATTTTAATTCCAACAAACGAATATTAAAACAATGAATGACACCTAATCAACAACGAACCCCAATTCGCATACGGCCAAAACTCCATGGGCAATTTGAGTGAATTGTAACCCATGAAAGCACGTATCAAACCTAACCGCCGCATATAGGCCCTGTAACGCCAAAAATTGTAAGCTCTTGCTGTAACAAAACCACATCAACCCTTGGAATATTGTATAAAGGGTTTTACGAAAGAAATTTAACTAGATAAATGTCACAAACCTCGTCTATCTTGAAGCTCGACTTCGTTTTCATCCAACGGTGGATTTTCTTCGTTAATCCTTTTTTGCAAATCATCAATAATAACATCGAATGATATATTTTCTCTGTTAAATATTCTGGTTACATTTTGCAGAGCATTAGGTTTGACGAGAACATCCACATAAGAGTGGTTACCGCCCCAAGTAGCTATAACTGCAAATTTATATATGTATGAACATCTTATATTTTTTCTGTAAGTACGTAATCAAATATAATATTTATAATTATAGAAAAAAATTTAAACCCTACAGTGCTTTAATGAATCAGTTTGGACAAGCTCTTTCGTTTGAAAGATGAAAAACATAATTAATTTATAACTTAAAAAACTCGCGACTATCTTGGACCCATTTTCATTAAAAATAGCTAAGAATACTCCTGACTAATTCACCTTTCAAACAAAAAAAAACAAATCAAAATCGGTTCATCCGTTCGGGAGCTACGATGCCACAGATAGACACACACACACTCACACACACGTCAAACTTATAACACACCGTCGTTTTTGCGTCGGAGGGTAAAATGAACTTGAAATTAATTTATAAGCTGTAATATTCTTCATATTATTATTTTTTATTTTTTTATAAGTACTTATATAATATTCAAAATAATGACAAAATTAAGAACATACGGTTTCTACGACGAAGTCTTCCGAGAACGCTTCTTACACCAGATCTTTCCGTCGAAACTTTCCATAGCTGTGCACCCGTGTAATCTACTTTTGTATCGCTAAGGTCTGCAGCTTTCGCAAGTATTAAAATTTCTTCTTCAATGTCATCCTTTGCATCGACTGGGGGATCTTCAGCAACAAGAGTAGTTAGTGCTGCTTCAGTCGAAATATCGTGCTCAGTTTCCTGTGGCTGTTTAAATTCAGTTTCCTGTGGTTGTTTAAATTCTCCTCTTTTTGGCCATTCTGTATAAAAAATATAGATATGTATATAACTAATTATGAAATATGAGATACGTAATTTGTTTTCATTGAAACCAAAAAATTAGGTCACCTTTATTTTAGATCGTTAATAAATTATTTTTTAGATTTACATAATTATATGTGGTGGTTACGACGTGTTTCGATGGCCTTTATCTATTAAATAAACGTGAGTAATTATGCAGCGTCATTATTGTTGTATGGTCCTACTGGTTTATCGCACCGTAACAGACCTTTTGTTTGTATCTGTTACATGAGACTTTCGCATCAAAATCGAGATGATACGATCTGTTGTTTTAAATATGTTTATTTAGTTTATGTAAATTTTGTAATACCTATTTATATTCTACTATCCCGTTTAAAAATTATTAACCTCGGCAATGTAAGAGTACGATACTTTTGATTAATTTATTGCTAAAATGTATTAATATTGTCAATAGATAACGATTGTATACCAAAGATAAATATTTAAAATTTGAATTGCCCTTTATAACAGAATTACAGGGATAGGTTGAGTTTATCCTTAAATCTGCGTAATTATTAGTTTTAACAATATTATATACTTGTTGCACCTCTATGTATGTATGTATGTATCAGCAACCTATAGCATTTTAATTTTATAGAAACTATCTTAAATATTACCTTAATTTTATCATTTAGCATTTAGTAACAAAGTTAAATGGATGAAAAAAGTGCCAGTTAAAAGTTGAATCAACAATTGATTAATTTAAATAAAACTATCTTTTCGGATTATTTCGCGGATTTATTTAAATTTTTGGCTCCCGACGTTTCGAATGCTTTACAGCAATCATGGTCACGGGAGACTAAGGTTATAGACGTCTCAAACACATACTTGTTACAGACAGTGCCTACCCACTATTTTACAAAAATGATTTTTAAAATTCAAAAAATGGCAATAAAGTAAGTCGTCACCCACGTAACGTAAGTAACTTCGGGAACCAAAAATTAAAACAAATCCGCGAAATAATCCGAAAAGATAGTTAGTTTTATTTAAAATGTCAAATATTCACGTAAATCTAAGAAAGTATTTAAACAATTGATTAATTACATAGATGTTTTTCCTATAAACACAGCAAAACACACCATGATATTTCTACAAGTAAACTGTATATTATTGGACTCATGACACATTGATAAAGATACGCGATTAGAATGCGGCCCTAGTCCTCATGTGACACGTTAAATGACTTTCTCTGGTCGAGCCTCGTTTTCATTGCGGTCGTCCTGATCTCGCTTTAACTGTTATGTGGCAGAATAGCACATATTATAAATTATTACGGTGAATCTATAGTTATAATTTTTATTGGTATTCTTTCCATATGATGTTTAAGTTTTTTCTGTATAATATATTTAAATGTGGTCGCTTTTGAATTTTAGTTTATTCTTCATTTACCAACATTGATTTATTCTTGTCGTTTATATGTTTTAGTAGTTATTTCCTTGGTTTTCGATATCTCATTTTGTTCACGTACAATGAAGGTGAATTTACATCCGGAATCTTAATTCTTCCTGTGTTTTGTATAATACCGTCGCCATTAATTAATATAGCCCACATATTATACTTATAATGTGCACTACACATAAAATAGTTTAGATTTCTATTCAACCTATCGATGGAAATTGACTTTTAGTTTAGATTGTTGTCTATATAGATAAAATTGAAATGTTGTTTGTTAGTATACTGTAAGCGCATCCCTTGAAACCGGTTGGATCGTTTAGGCTTTTTTTTAAATGTTCGTGATAGTGTTTTTGGGAAAATTTTGAAAGAAAATTTTGAAAAACTTAAAGTACTTTATACAATTATACAACTATAACTTTCGTCAAACTTAATGATAAAGTGATCTTTAAGTTTGACAAAAGTACTTTGATATTTGAACAGGACAAAATCAAAATAAATAAAATAATTGACTCGGCCATTTTGCATTCCATGCCCGTTTTAGGAAAAATGTTTCAAATATTTTTGTTTATATTTCTACCTTATTCCATACGTATCCGTAACAACTCTATTAAAAAAAATATGTACACTCAAACCTAAACTTACTAAGGTATAACATAATAATTACATCTATAATATAATTTCATTGTAGAGCCTCTCGTGTTATTCAGCATTATTAGAACATATCTATTTATAATTAAAATAAATAAACTTAAAGACTGTCCTGAGATTGATTGTTTTTAAATTATTCTTAACTTTTTTTTCAATTTAGTTTCTTTGAGCTTATTCTTATTTTATGCGAAAGTAACTACCTAGAAGCAAAATATAGGAATTATAATATTTACTATAAATAAATTACCTTTATTTTCTGCAAGTAATAAAAAATACTCTATAATATACTCTATCTCTATCTATTAACTTAAGTTACTTCTTAGTTATAAATTCAGTTTATAAATAAGATTCATACGATCAAATACCTATAATTTACACTAGACATAAAACATTACAAAGCTAAAAGTATTTCTTATGAGAATGCAATAAGATGTCACTTTTTCGCTATCTTTAAAAAATTGAAGAATAAATGATTTTGTTACCTTTTCCTGGTTCAAGATCATTGATGACTGGCGTGCAGGTCACCGCGGTGGCCACCACTAACAGCACAAGCGTTCTTGGCAACGTCCTCATTGCGACTGACCGTGCTCACCAACGTCCCATACATAAACCAACCACGTCTATGCACTTGCGCTCCCAACGCTCTTAAAGCTCTGACACATTGCACAATAATTGACTTAAATTGTACATCCTATTAAAAAAATAACACGATTTATATGTGAATTATTTTTTCTTATTATTTATGTGGTAAATACAAATAGTCATACGGTTAAATTTTATTCTGACCTGGTTTCAATAGTTACTCTACATATGTACTTAGAATATCATACTGACGGTCCACCCTGGCTTCGTCCAGATGTAAAATGCTATGTATACATGCATACATATATAATACAAATACATAATACTAACTAACCTGATGGTTATATTGGGTTTAAAGAGTCTCGAATTATCCTCTCTATAAACCCGCTCTAGTAGAGCACCTTTCGTTGGTTGATGGTATTGTGTCAAAAAAATAACATGACTTGTGCAAGTCATTCTATCGCGTAAAATATATATTCAACTTTATATATTCTAAAAACTTTAAATTTCATTAAAACTATAAGAAATGTAGGCTATTCAGTTTGTGAATAAAATATAGCAAGTACTTAATCATAATTCCTATAAGGGTAGGCATAAAGGTAAATGAACTTCTTTGATTTTCAAACAAGCTTATCAAAGTTTCTTATTTATTTTTTATTCTTTAGCTTTAAACTTGTTTGCTTTTGTTTTTATGGAACAAATACATACTTTATGTAGAACTAGCACTGCCCGCGGCTCTGCCCGCGTTCAAATGATCAAAAACCAAATTCTTAAGTTTTACATACTAGTAGGTATACTCTTACATTGCAGTTTTTGTATTTTTTCTCTAAAATGAGATATTTTCCCGCGGTAAAAAGTATCTTATATATTGACCCGGATAACCAGCTACCATTATACCAAATTTCATCAAAATCCCTCTAGTGGTTTTTCCGTGATGCGGTAACAGACAGACAGACAGACAAAGATTCTAAAAACTATAGATTCAGCCTCTGTATCGATAATAATGTCTATTTCAATAAGATTTTCCAAAAAATATTTAATGTACAGATTCGGCTTAGTTACAATTTTATTATATGTATAGATGAAGTTTAACATCATTGTAGCGAGCTGTTACCTATGTAGAAAATGAACTCAATATACCAACAATCTAAATGGGAAATATTACATTAAGGAAATAACATCTAAACGTATTGCTTAGTCATTTGTATTTATTTTGGAACCAGAATGACAGCCTTCGTGTCGTAGCAAGGCGCCATTCCCGGTCATTGCCTCTAAGTTGCAGTTATTTTATAATAACGACAAACCGTGTTTACTGTAAACATGTTTTCTTCGTTTAGTGATTTTAATAGAAATTTACTTCGGTGTTACCATCGCTGCTTATTTTACAGTTATATGCTAACTTTTTTGAACCTTAAAGGTCTACGTTTATTTCGCCCTGAAAAAACTTCTAATACAAAAACGTATACTATTGTAAACATTGATATAAGTTTGTTTAATATTTTTATTTTTGCAGGTCAACCAAACTACAAAACAAAGTACAAAAGAAGGTAGTGAAATTCGTAGAAAACCAAAACTAAGGCCTTTTTCTGCAGGTGTCATCGATTCAAAGAAAAAAGAAGCCGTAAAAGTGGCCAGATTTATGACAAATTCACCCAAAAAAGCACCAACATGTAAACATGAATCATTAATAGAAGAATTAAAGGATACAAATGAACGGATAAAGAGTTTAGAATTGTTAAACGTTCAATTAACAGATGACAATAAAGTTTTACGTAAGAAATTAGACCAGGTCAATGAACAAAATTATGTTGCTGAATTAAAAGTGGCTGAATGTGAAAAATTTGTAAACAGACTGTCAAAAGAATATGAAAATAGAATTTCTGAACTAAAAGCTTCAAAACAAAATGAGCAAAGTTTAATGGCTGAGTTAGGAAAGGAAAGAAATGAAAGAAAAAATATCGCTATACAAAGAGATAAAGATGCTGCAGTCATCCAAGATCTTCAGAGACAAGTTAAAGAAGTGGAAATGATACTAAGAAGAAAACATCCAGATTCAGTGTCGGCCTTAATAGGTAGAGTTTTCACTGTTTATCGTCAATGCTATGTACATTGAAGGCGAAAATAGTTAAAGATGCTAATTTAAAGTCAAATTATAGTTTCCCTTTGAGAAAAAATAAAGTACATTTTTTAAACTGCTTCTAAGTATAATCGTTACCAAAGACATTAATATATAGCTGTTTTGTAAATTTAGATCTATCTTATATTGTCCTTACGTTTTGCGCTAACCTAGTCATTAAAAAGCAGTGTAATACACATAATTATGCTTTTGGGATTTACAGTCGCTTCAAAATCCACGTCGCTCGAAGACAATAAAAAAAAATTACTGGAAGAACGTATTGCGAGATTAGAACAAGAGCTAAAAGACAAGGAGACTCATTTTCAGGGAATTTTACTAACTCTTCAAGAAAAATTTGGTGATATGAAACAAAAATACGAGAGCCATATAATAGATGTTGAACGACAGCTCATGGAGGATCGTAAAGTAAATAACAATTTAAAAAATAAAATAAACAAAGCAAATTTAAGTGATGTCGCAGTACAAACGGTACCCAAAGCGCAACATACAGTTGGGACCCAAACTTTTATTAAGACAGATCGAGCGTCGTCAGCAGTGAGTCGACTGACACAGAATTCGGCATTAATATTCAATAAGCTAAAAGAAGATAGCTATTTAGTAGCCACTATAAAAGGGCTTCAAGCGGAACTCACTGTGAAACAGCGAACTATATCCAAAATTAATAGAGAAACTGAGGAATTAAGGAAGAATTTGCGAAATTTGCAAAAGGAAAAGGAAGGTAATGTATATTTTTATAAATATTTTTGATATTCATTACGAAATTTTCAATAATCTAATTTGGTTACTTTTTACATTTTATTCCAGTAAATGATGAAATTTTATTTTATACCTACTAGCGGCTTATCCTCGTTCCGCTTAGAATCATCCCTAGATACGTTTTAACGGTTAGTATAGATTTCTCAGAGATGACATATTTTCCCGCAGTAAAAAGTATCCTACATGTTGACCGAAATAACTAGCTATCATCATACCAAATTTCATCAAAATATGTCCAGTGGTTTTCTCATGATGCATTCTCAGTGAGTCAGACAGACAAACAAAAAATCTAAAAACTATACATTCGACCTCTGTATCGATAATAATGACTAATTCAATAAGACTCAGAAATTTTATTATATGTATTTAATTGATTACGTAATTTTATTTTAGTATTACTGAATTTAAATCCTCAAAGAAAAATATGTAAGCCGGCGAAATCTGCGGAAAATATAATGGCCAAAGTGAATACGGAAATGGAGGCGGAATTAAGTCAAACAAGAAAACAGAAAGAGACATTGGTCGAGGAAAGAGTGAGTTTGCTGGCGTCATTAAAACGTACCAACGAAGACTTGATAATGCTAAAAAAGAAGAGAATACAAGATGTAAGTTTTCTTTAAGTTTTCTTTCGTCTATTCTACAGTTGTGTTTAGTAAATAAAAAATAAAAGTAATTTTTACTATAAAAGTAAAGTTTTCTGTGAAGTAAAACTTTTGTCGACATCTTTTCTAGATAGCAACTAGCACCACAATACTAATTAGATACTAACAGTTTTAAACTTAATTCTATATTATGAAACAAATTCTTAAATCTATATTATAGGCTGTCTGTAACAACTATATAATGCCTTTGAGACGTCTAAGACCTTGCTCTCTACCGTGACTATGATTGTTGTAAAGCATTCAAAATGTCGGGAACCAAAAATTAAAGTAAATCCGTGAAAAAATCCGAAAAGTTTTATTTAAATAGAAAATTTTTGCTCAAGATTTTTCCATACTCTAGGAACTACAGTTCCTCAGATTCCAACTATCTTAGATCAGTTTCAGTAGTTCCAACTATAAGTAAAATTTAATCCTTTTTTATATATTTATGATTTTTATTTTTTATACTTAGATTCTTGCGCACTCTTATGCTCGCAATTCACTTACCGTTAGTAAGAAATAAATTGGTTTTATGAAAGCTTTCTCTGGTTTCTAATAGACGCAAGTGGTGTACAGAAATCTTTTCGTAAGAAATCTAGTCATTATTATAAAAAAAAATTCTTTACACGAAATTTGGTGAAAACTTACCTTTTTATGTCTCAGACATACTGTAATTTTTTTGATTTAAAATATTTATTTTTTCACATTATTTTGACTTAATATCGAAAAAGCACCTTAATTTTCAATCCAAAATTCTCGCGTCAAAATATCTGCTTTTTTAAAAAGTCGGTTGGCTTTTTGTTCGTTAAAATCTCGACTTTCTGATGGTGTAAAAAAATATACATGACTATGGTAAATTTTCTCAGAAAATGCAATTAATAAGACATCTACAATATTTTTTTTACATAAATTTTTTACATAATATTTTTGACATAAATTTTGACGTTATGTGAAAAGTGTAAATTGAAAAGTTGTAGATCTTCTTATTTCCTACAACTTTGCCGTTTAACTTTTTTCCATAGGACTTGTCGTTTTGTCGGAAATCGAGATAAACCGTTTTTTACCCTTAAAAACTCGCCCCCTCCCACTTCCCGACCTCAGATTGACCGTAAATTATTTTTCCTTTCATTTTTATTATATTCTCCTCCTTTTCCAATGGGTTTCATCCTACTATATTTTTTTTGGTTTCAAAAATTATCGACCCTGGTCTAATAATTGTGTTTCGATAATTGAATCAATTAAGTATAAACACTTGCAAAGTCCAATAATTTTCTAGGCATTCTATTGACTACAGTAACGATTTTGTTGATAGTTTGTCTCTTTTCATAAGAGAGGCAATATTGATATTTTCTAATTTGCCCATATTGTGAATCGACATCACGCCTGCGTTTACGCGTTTACCTCAGCTTCCTTATAACTGTGGTTTGGCATATTAACTGCCTACTTACTTTTATATTTATGTTATTTTAGCGTTACATTCATCTTCACTTTCTTTTGCTAATTGTTATAACCATCATCATTTAGTCGCGTATTGATTAAGTGTTAATTGTACGGTCACGAATAAAGTATGGCTTGTTATGAGCGCAACTTTCATACGATTTATTACTTTCTTAGATTTATGTATAAGCGTCCCGAACGTATTCATTTACCAGAGATTCAGCTTCGATTAAGTATATAATTTGGTGCCTGTGGTATAACCTGGTGTTACTACAGGTTGTAGTATAATCACGAGTACAAGTACCATGTTCAACAATAATATCTATTTGCATGATTTACTCGTTAATCTATACATATAATAACATTCTAAGTATGTCGAACTGTACATTAAATATTGTACATTTTTTAGAAAATCTTATTGTCTATCTGTCTGTCTGTCTGGGAACGCATCACGAAAAACCCACCGGACAGATTTTGATGAAATTTGGTTTGATGATAGCTGGTTATCGTATAGTATGGTATATATTATGATATAGAATACTTTTTACTGGTGGAAAATATATCATCTCTGAGAAATCTATACTTAACTTTAAAACGTAACTAGGAACGAACTAAACTACGAAACTAGAATAAATTATAACGTGTTCAATTCTTCATAGTTCGTGTATGAAGTTGTTTATATTTGTCATGATGTTCGTCCTAGCTCAAAACAACCCACGAGGCTGTTGACGTCCTGTACCTGGATTCTGTACGTCAGACAAGTACTATGGAACTGTTTATATGCAGATTGGATGAAGTATAAGGACATATTGTTATGAAAATTGTTATTTATTATTATTATTATTACTTATTGGCAAATGAATAGCGTATTATACAAACGTGTGGTGGAAATTACAAACACAGGGTAAATTATTTATAGAAATCATTTGGATTTTCTTATATACTACTATATTTAAAGAATATCGTCGTAGGATTCAGGAAAAAAACTAAAACAGGAAAACTTGACATTACAAAAACGCAGCGTTACGTTATTTTGGTTGGGTCTATCAGATAATTTTAATTTATGTAAATATTTTGTCAAGTGCGAGAGGTACTGAGAGTTTATTAGCAACATTTCTAAAAACCAAAGATGTCGAACGGATAGATAATAACAGTACAATTTATGTTTGCATTTGGGCCATTTGGAAACGGAACCCAAAAACTAAATTTTTCAACCTGTTTGTTCTGACTCATGCCCTCTCATTGTCTATGTCAGCCGTCAATGGGCAGGGGACTGTGAGACTCTTATTCACTAAATCTCACAGCGGAACCCTATCGCCGTCACAGGATCCCTTGCGCACACACTTACGACACTCATGAATTGTTCTATCTCCCTAACTTAATACTTTCTTAGATTTACGCAAATATGATATAGGTACCTATGTATATTTTTTTCTTTATGGCTTAGAACTGCGTTGACAGACGCAATTCATTCTGTCAGTGTCACGTTTTGTGAGGAAGACGCGAATGATATAGAGCGATAATTTTGAAATTTAGCAGTTTTAGTGTGGAATTATAAGTACAAATGAATGATCGGTCTACAGGACGAACCTACAATAATAGAAAGATAATCACGCATATTATGTATATCTCCAACTTAACCCTTAGATATGACATTCCTATACTATTATTACTAATCTGTTAGCAATAGTATTTGTAAAAGTCAACTAGACCATCCCATAGGTTATTTCTCTAGCACCTTACTACAAACCTACGGACTGGTCCAAATTAACCAGTCTGATGCATTATCATTGTTTAAATGACTATCGAGAAAACAATTAGACCGCCTTGACGCAAACTGACAACTAACAGCTGCATCTAACACAATACCGTGACTGATTGACGCATGCCTTAAAATGAATAATTTAGAGATTTAAATATTACAGGTGTATATCTAAACTATAATAGGGAGCGTCAAAGCATGATTCTTGGAATTCTTAAACGTGAGAATTTCAAAAATCCTGTCTGGTAGAAAATTTTATATGGACAAGCATTTTACTCTAAACTTGACAACTAAAAAAACAAATGCCTGTCTTATAAAAATAAAATAAATAATAAAGTCACTATTGTCCACAGCTCCACACACTACAATTGGCCCACGAAAAAGAACTAATGCAGATGAATATGCAGTTGTATCCTTTGCAAGAAGAGATCAAACTATTGAACAGGACGGTCGAAATATTACAGGAGAGAGTGAGGGCGGCTGACGACAAACTGTTAAATTACCAATGTGGTGAGAAGAACGATGTGCATGCAGGTGGCGATAATAAACACTTTAGAACAAAAGAATCGACGCAAAAATAAAATTCATTTAATTTTTCGCGTATGAATTACGTTTATGATTTTAAATTAATTTGTAATAAGGTTTTTTGAATGATTTAAACAGCGATGTCGAATAAGTTTACATTTAAAATGACGTCAAGCTTTAATTTAATGTAGTTATTTTCATCTGAAATGATGACACATTACAATTTTTTCTTTGGTTCATGTTCAATTCTTATTGTAGTACCTTTTTGTGTCGTATATTCTCGTTTTTATCATCATTAAATCCCTTTCTAACGTCCCTCTGCGGGTAAGGGGGATTAACTTTAGTGCGAGTGGGTGGGGGGTCGGTGTGGTGTTTGGGTGATCAAACCATAGTCTACCAAGTGTCGGTTGGTGGACTTCATATGTCTTTCGAAAACTTGCTAGATTCTTTTACGTATGCAGGTTTTCATCATGTTAAAAATGATTTTCACATAAAAATATCAGAGGTGCGAGAGCCGCGTTATAAACCAATTTTGATTGGTTTTCTTATCAAGCTTAGCTTTTTCTTTAGCGCTGGACTGCCACTGCTTTTTTGCTGATGTTTTAATTATATAAAGTATTTATTAGCTTTGCGGTTTGTTTTAGTTTAGTCTTCACAATACACAATAAAGTGACTCATACCCCATTCCGACGCAGGGAGTGAAGTTTAGTGGTCAAGTTGTATATTTAGTAGTATTTTCGTGGGTATATCCAAAGTGATAAGGCAGTGGTAGCCCAATGGTAACGCGCTCGCTTGGGAAACCCAGTGAAGCGGGTTCAAATCCCGGGTCTCGCACCTCTGATATTTTCATGTGCGAATTATTTCCAACATGATTACCACATGTCTTAACGGTGAAGGAAAACATCGTGAGGAAAACTGCATGTCCGAGAGAGAACCTAGCAACTTTTCCAAAGACATGTGAAGTCCGCCAACCCGCACTTGGCCAGCGTGGTGGACTATGGCCTGATTCCCCTCTTACTAAAGGTAGGCTCGTGCCCAGCAGTGGGCGTTAAAAAGGGATGAATACATTCAAAGTGAAGCATTTATCTATAGATAAAATATATCTACGTGTTTTTGAATTCGTCTGCCTTTGAATGAAGTTATGTCGGTCTCTCCATAAATTAACATAAATTTTTGTAGTCTTCTTATAGTAATTGTGCTATAAGGATAATTGTATTTAAAACTAATAAATATCAAGTGATGCGTATATACTCGTAGTTTAGAACTTTAGAATATCGAGTCAATTAACGAAAGCTGATCATGCAAGTATAGGTAAATTAATAATAATTAATTAATTAAAATACAGTAAAAATGGTAAAGCCTTGTATATAAAAATGGATGTATTTGTTAGATTTTTTATAGATCATATAAACTTATTATAAAAAATATGTGGCTTACTGTAAAACTAAGACATATATAAAAATATAAAATATATAAAAAAAAATTATAAGTAGAAGGAGAACTTTTCTGTTTAATTCATATGGAAATCTCTAATCGTGACATAAAATAAATGCGTGAATTAAATTGGCTACATACGAACAAACAGATGAATTAAAGTGTGACCGCCACAAATCAAATTTACCTGTACCGTAATTAAACTTAATTGAAGACAAAACTGCACAGGAATACCCTATACTGTGTATTGCCTTTAGTAATCATTATAAAATAATTGTAGTGGAAGTATATATACAATGTCAAGTATATGTATATTTACAAATATGTATTTTATTGAATATTTTTATTATTATTTATTAGTCACATATTACACGTATGTAGTGTCTTTGTTATAATTTATATAAATATTCATTAGTTATTTGAATTCGTTAAACTCTACTTTTTATTCGGTGCATTCTTACTTCATATGTATCTATGTTATATGTATATATATAATAATCTACATATAATGTATTATAGTAGAAATTTATGGGAAATCAATAATATAACGTTGAACCACGCACAATGCTACGATGATAATAGTAATTTGTACCTAACCATGCGTTTCTGTGGGTCAGTTTGATGAAATGTAGTTACAGCAAAATAAAAAATATTCTCCGCAATAATTTATTCTTCTTGCACGGCTTTTTTCGCACTTAGACAATTTTTACCCGTTGAGCACGAGCTTGTGCTATGTGTCTGTTATTCCTTCCATCCTAATTTGTCCCAGTAGACTAGCAGGCTACCGGTGTCCTGGAAGGTTTCTGGTAGTCAATCCGAGGCTCAGTTATTCTGCATAGGTATTCCAGTTCGCTGCATTCAAGCAAGATGTGTACAGGAATTTCATCCCTCTAAAGGCACGCTCTGCACAGGGGACTGTTTGTTATACCTACATAATATATCGAAAAGATGTTTATTGAGTTGACAGTGCCCTGTTACCACTACCACTGTTTTAGTTTGGTTCTAACTAGTCGTATTAATTTATTTCTTAGTCGTCTAGATTTAGGTTCGGGGAAGGTATTTTTGGATTGACGGCAGTCAGTGTATGCCTCCCATAGAGCGTCTATTTTTTTAGTGATTAGGTAGCTTGGCCAGGATTTGTATTCGCTGTAAGGGATCGTAGTTAAAGCTTTTGTACCTTTAGAAGCCTGTCTAGCTAAATTATCGACACTCTTGGAGTCCATGTATATCAACTTTAATGGCAATCAGTTGAACCGTGTAAAGTTAGTGTGTGACAACGCCATCCAGTGGCTAGTTACAGCAAAAGAGATAGCAGAAAAAACTTTTAAGTGTTAAAACGATCGGTGAGGAACTTTTGGGGATTTGTGGTTATGCAAAAACGCACATTTATATGTTTAATTATATACTTAAGTGCATAATAAGTTTAAGATAATGGATGTTTATATATATATATATATATATATATATATATATATATACAATGCATTATAGAAATACCTACTTATTGAAGATGATAAAGACCAATATCGATAACGTTATGTTTTCTGTGACGACCCCATAAGAGGAATGTGTACAATGAAACTATTTATTATTAACAATTAAAATATGAAAGGATGTGAAAGATATTAGAAGTATGTACTTAACAAATATCAATACGTAATAAGACGTAATAAGTGATAACAGTTACTTCAAATACCTAAAATAAACACAAGGCATATATATGTAGAGTTATCTAATGCGGGACCATTACCTTATAAGGGTAAGGAAGATAACTAAGGGTTTATTTTTCTAAGATTTGCAAGTGCTTTAAAATGCGAATTTAATTGAATATGTATTATAGTAGTTGAATGAACTGTCATTGTTGGGAAACAAGGGCTTGACCAAATATTATTTTTATGTAGAGATGGATATTGCGAGTTTTGTGTTGGAATACATATCCTTAATATTATTGTAAATGCAAAAGTGTGTTTGTTCGTTCTTCTCTTAAGTAGCAACAGATGAGAGAATTGATGTATCGAAGAGTGGCATAAGATTTAATTCGGCACATTGAGTTTTCTTGGGATGTCTGTTTATTACATAGTAACGTAACAGAGGGTATGAGACAAATAACAGTGGGTTACTATTAGTAAAAACAATTATAAATACTACTTTATGCCCACTACTTTCATCGTAACTTGTAGATATGTCATTATACCAGAATATATCTAAGCTAATTCTATTTCGAATTTCACATGTAACGTAGAGCCGCTACATCGTGGAAGTGACAAAAACAAACATACTTTTGCGTTTATAATAAGTGTGATTCGGATGTTATTATATTTTTTTATCTGATTAAAATGTGAATGAAAAAATATATGTATAGAAATGTTGATTAAACAGTCGCAAGATGGTTAGTTGCTCTGTCTCTATATTTGGCATCTTAATGGAATATTGATTGGAATTTGGATCAATATATAAAACATACGAGATCAATGATCCAACACTACAATTAAGCCACTAAAAGATTTCATTAGAATTTTAAAATCTGTAGTAACGTCAATGTTAATTTACATCTGGTATACTATTAGTACTAAGCTATCTTTAAAGTATAGTGTACGATTTATCTAGTCATAGGTACAAATATTTTTGTGACTAATAAAATTAAGTAAAATAGAACCCACCGATGTAAATTTAACGTGGTGCCTTCAATGCCTTAATAAAAATTTTTTTTGTGGTATTCATGTCTTTTATTTGTTTTTTTCTTTATTTTTTTATTTATCAGGATCTCCAATGTTAGTACACAACAAATTTACACGAATACATTACCAAAACTTAATCTTATGCACTCACAATTATAGAGGAACACAACATGCTTCATATTTTATAAAGATATCTTAAATATATATTATTTAAAGATAGATTTAAAGAGTAGATATAGAATCTGTCCTAACTTGAAAAATTATCATTACTCATTGTGATTTGTCGTAAATACAGTAGATCATATAAAACATACATACATACACTAGATATTTGTATGTACATTAGATAATGTAAAATGTGAGTTTTTGATATATTTTTTTAAATGGTTTTGAACTGTTTATGAATCAAATGTAGAATACATCTATGTAAGAGAATCTAAAAAACAATTTAAGTTATAAATCTCTCCATGAAATACCTGTTTTGAAAATTGGCTACAGTATTTTAGAAGAAAAATGTATTTGCGCTTCTATACTTAATATGACAATAAATTTAAATTATTTAAAACTTTTCCCTTTTGTGAAGATATCCGTATATGTATGTATACAGTGGATGACCCTTGACTCAGTTGACCACAGTCTCGAAATGCTAATATCTGATATTCATAAACATGGGACCAGTTGTGCAAGTTAGATGTTTAAAGGGTAATCACCTGCCGTTAGCGTGTGGTGGACCGGTCCTGATGGGTAAAAGCCGTTACTTATATACATATTCAGAACCATAATATAGGAATTTGTGTATAAGTCTCCTTACCAATATAAAGTATAATTTCCAAGCCACATTAGAGAACAGTCATGGGATAATGGAAAGTGAAAAGCAGCGTTATATAGATTCTGGCTTGCCACTAAGTTGCTAGCCATTTTAAAAACTAGTTTTACTGGAG